TCTTTAATTATATGAAAGAATGCAGCAAGAGAAAGTGGGTAGGTTTTTACTGATGTTATTTTTTGATTGCATTTTTTAACTTATTTTTAATAGTTCATTTTATTAAGGGGGAGAAAAACAAGAAAACAAAAAGGCTTCACCATCGTAAGCTTCCAAATCGTAAGCTTCCAATCTTCTTATAAAAAATGCAACTGTTGAGCAAATAGCTTAAAATGTGGCATCCATGATCTGTCTAATGTTGTCTACTATTATATAAAACTCGCTGAACTGAGACACTAAAGGGCAGGATACCATAAATCAATCAATCAATCAATCTTCAAACCAAGCCAATATCAATTACCAGTTATAGCAAATATAAATCTGCTGATAATTGACACATTTGTGTTTTGACTCATTTGTACTTTTGACACTGTGGCTCAGCATTCGTTTCTTTGAAATCATCACTAATCATGAAACACTTCAGTTAAACTATTGAGCTTGAACCAACATGAGATAGTCTTAAGTCTGATCTTAACTGGCAGAGACCAGTTAAACACTGTTTTTCACTTGGATAACCTTTGTCATAAAACAACTTTATTACCAAAACAGGCCAACTTCAAAGCATGATTTATGAAGCCGATGTATTTTAATAAAGAATTCTTAGGATTAAAGGAAAGGGTGAGCTTGGAAGCCAAAGACATGCCTAAATTTGCCTTATTGTCCTTGACAGTGACATTTCCATCTCACAGGCCTTTGGTGGTGGGCTTGTACTTACTTACAGACAGCCTTAAAAGATCTACTAATCAGCAATGGGATGCCAGCTTTGGGGATATAAACAGAGGAATCAGACTGTGTGGCAGACCTAGATTCCCATTCTGTCTCCATGTCTACACTCCATGTCTATGATTACAGAAATAGAAGGCTAAGATGAGGAACTCCCATTGCTTTAGGAGTCCACCCTTGTGATTCTAGAGATACTGAAAGCTTGACACGTTTTAACTTTTTCTCAGGGTTAGATTAAGCCAATTTAGGCATCCTATCCTGCTCAAAGGTGGTACTACTGCAGGTACTTCTGCAGAAGCATAATGTCAGCCTTGCCTGGAAGGCTGCAAATTTTTTTTTTTTTTAAACAAATGATCCTTGATTTTGCTGATTCAACATTAAGTGTAAGAAATTATTACTCTATATTGTTATGAGCATGTATTTCTGTCTGCATTTGGGTTTTCCTGTAGATCACTTTTAAATACAGTCTAATGCAATAATTAATAATATTGTCAAGAACATTAGAGGCTCACACACCTGTCCATTTTCCAATGTGATATATGCCATTCTTTGCTGGCAATGCTATATTGCATTCTATATTGCATTGTAGGATGAACAAATCAGTCACTATGCAAAAGAATAAATGGATGCATCTCTGATAAAGGAATATACACAAATCAGTATTACGATCCTGTTACTGACCTTAAGGTGTCCATTCTTGACCAAAGGAAATTCAGATGAAAGATTTCACTGCAAAACAACTGAAGTGGAATTCATTAAGAGGTTCATTTTTCATCTTCTGTGACTGAATAGGTCAAAAGATTTCCATCACAGTAAATGTGTTAATTAAAGATGAATGTGTTATCACCATACAACAATTTTGTTAATAGCAACTATAAATAAGGTAAACATTACTGTCTGTGCTTTCAGCATTTCTAATCTCTCTGACTTTACTGCTTACAATCCCAGTGCTTGTATGTATAGATGTGCAAAACTCAGAATAAAACTTCATGCACCTGCTGAAGTATGACCCATTCTGTAAAAGCTTTTGCCATAATGAATTTGTCAGTATTTTTGGCTCCACAAGACTGTTTTTACTGCAACTAACACAGCTCCCCCTCCACTAAGTGCTCCATGAAATTCATTTACATTGTGTCAGCAGTCCATCCTGTAAGATAGCCCAGTATTATGCGCATACCGAAGTGGAAATTAAGGATGAGACACAGATGACTGGATGAACTCATATTTGTCTGAGATTTAAATCAGTGTTCCATACTAACTCTCCTAAAAATGTGAATAACAAAACCTTCAATTCCATATGTAGATCCATAGTTTAAGTGTGGAGAGATACATGAGAATATGACAAATTAGGCTATGTTTTCTGGATTACTTCCTTAGAATTGCAGGTTTGTAAACATACGAGTATACCGATACTGGCAGAGTAATGTGTTCATCATTACCTACCATTTGATAACCAAAGTTAGGCAATGTGGTACATGTGAACAAGATGATCACAAAAACGTTTTTGTATTAAGCCCATTCTTCTACATCACCAATTCTAAATACCAAGGCTATATTAGAGTTCAGCTCAAAAATTAATTATCTGCTAACATTTATAACACACAGTACTTTCAGGTTTAGTACTAAACCTATTTTTATTTATATGATTAAACTATAATCTGAAGCATAAAACTTTCCATTCATTTTCATCAGCTGAAGCAGGGATCATTGTGACAATTCTACAGCTATATATGACAGCATATTCAATGCTAAAACCTTTCTCCTAACACATGTGCCTTACCCATGTTCAGAAATGATGTGTGTTCACCTGGCTGCTATATCTGAGGTGCAACTAGTTTCCCCATCCACTCCCTATACCTTCCTCATCAAACGTTGGAAAATGTGACTACCTTAAAACAACATAAGCATATATTAACATTTAGCAGAGGCTTTAATAAATAAAACAGACTTGGCTTATTGCTTGCCAGCTATCCCGTCCTGAAAAATTTGGTTTTCCAGAGTCCCTTTCCAGACACCTTGACAATATAACTCTATGCTGAATTGCTCCATTTCTCAAACATCAAGGAAGCACTGAATAATGGGAAAAAGAAAGGGGCTAAAACATTTGAAGGGGTGGGGGGGAAATACAGAAAGAAACTGCAACAGTACCAGCTGTATGGGCTAAAATGCCTTTTAAAGAATCCCAATTTTGAACACTCAATGAAAAGTAATTATTACATTTTCATTTATTGTGAGAAACGCAAAGCATTTTACATAGTCCTATACCACTCCATTTTTATTCTCACAACTGTGAGGCAGATTAAGCTGAGTCTGTAACTGGTGAAAATCACTTAGCAAACTCATTGGCTCCATGGGGACTAGAACATGGATCTCCTGGGTCCCCAGTCCAACACTCTGACCAGCATATCAAAATTGCTTCAGGTATCTAACAGGCTACATTTTTATAGTGAGAGACTTTGGAATTTGTTTAAAATTTATGCAATGCAAGAAACATGTAATATGTTTTGTAATATATTTGTGTTGATCAACCATCCATTTCTAGATTTCTGAAGCACTGTTTTGTTGTTTAAGAACACTGGAATTTGAAACAAGATGGGAATTAAAGTTACCTTTAAATCAGTTGCTGTTTCATGTTGTTTTTTTCCTTGATCAAGAGACCATATATGTACCCTAAAAAGCTGAACTGCTTTATATTTGGCCCTCTCTCCTACATCATGGTGGTTTTAGGAGAGTTAACTTTCATTTTAGAGCATTCATTTTATCCGTTCATTGCATGTTTTATTCTTAGTTCATACCAGTGAATATTTGCACTTTTTTACAAGTTACTTATTTACTTTTGAGCAAAACTGGAGATAAAATGCAGTCAATTTCCAGAGTCTACATCCCAATTACTGAACAGTAAGGCATATCATTTACACTTTAAACAAGAAAGGATTGATTAAAAGCCTTTCTGAGTCCAGAGAGTCAAACATTTTCATATTGCTACAGTCAGGGTGTTTTGGATTTTGAGAGGGAAGCCTCATGACCAGGGAGGCCCACTCTATCTTTAAGCCTTGTAACTTTTGTTATACCTGCAACATGAGCTCTCCCTTAGCATTCTTCATAGGCAGAAATCTGGGTGGATTTAATTTAAATCAAATCAATTGAAATCACCACTCAGTTATGACTAGATTTAAATCATGGTTGTTTACACTTGAATGCCTGCCCGCCCTACCTGTAAGTAGAGGAACATCATTAAAATATTCCCAAACTGCTGTAAATTTTTTCTCCCCCAGGGAAAAAATAGTATGATAAATTTCAGTCTATATATAAAAAAATCCAAAGACTTCTGGAGTAGTCTGCTCAAAAGGTTGCACTGCTTGCTCCTCCCTTGGCACACCTATAGATAGTAGATCTTCTTGTGCAGATCTATTTCATGCTCAACCACCTTCTTCTATGCAATGACTTTTTTGAAACTTAGCACTTAAGAGGTAAAGGGTTGATTCTGTGTACATAGATATGCAAAGGAACTGTGGGATTAAGGGCTTTTTCTCAACACTGTATTGTTTATTTTATAAAATGTTTATTTTATAACATTTCTGCTGTGAAGAAGAGGCATGTGATCTCTGCAGAGATGAATTCACGGTTTTGAGAAGTGTAAAACCAAGCATTTTGATAACGTCTACAAAGAAAAATTTCCCCAATAATTTTACAGAAACCTCTGGAAGAGCATGACATTGCAAATGGATTGATGGAATTCATTTACCAAAAACTTTAAACATTGCATGAATATACAGCCTTGTGCCAAATAACTACTGTTCCTTATTTCATGATGAATAACCTTTGAACTATAATGTATCTTAAATAGAAAACTAAATTTAGATAGATGTTTCCTCAAAAAGTATTTTATTTTTAAAAAATCCAATTTAAATAAAAAATCCAATTTTAAATAGAATTTTTAAAAAAAAATTTAAGTCAATGATTTTTATCCACTCTGACAAAAATCCAGAATGTCTAAATGCTGCTAGAAAAAGGATAAAAGAAACCACCAAGTTAAGCATGAGCACATCCCATATTTAGCAGCTCGTTAGAAGGCATTTTAGGATTTCCCTTTCCCATTACTTTCATAACAGGTATCAATTAATTACAAAGATATCTACTTTTTATTTCGTTTACCTTTAAAACTCAGTTTATAAAATGCAGTGTACAAAACATCTGTGATAAATATATAAAAGAGCTTGTTAATAGGTACTTCTAAAACAGATCCAAGTAGCACTTTAATTTGGTGAGCTGAAACTGGGATTACAATAATCTTATTTATGTTTCATAGTATTACAAAGCAGAAACCATTTCCTCATAACAGTTTATTCGTCTTTTAAGCAGCGCTTCATATAAGTAATTTATATAAATTTACTCATCTTCAGAGAAACGGATATGCTTGCTTATCTCTTGTGTCTTCGCTAGTCTCATTTTTTCAGCTTTTGCAATTAACTACGTAAGAAAAAAGGAGAAAAAATTTTTTTCAGTTATTGTCAGAGTCAGAACAAATAAAGACCAACAATTAGCCTCAAATTTGCAAGTAAACCCTTCATAAAACAAAGTTCCATGCTGTTATTCTGACAAATCAGCTAAAGTTAAGAACTTTAAATTCATTTGATTTTAATGGTGACATTTAAATAGCTGAAAGCAACATTGTCCATTGTCCCTCTTCAGAACTGTAACACCTAATTAACAAAGGATTTTTCTAATCCTTAAAAAAAGTTGAGCTATTTACCCATTAATTCCATATCCTCAAGGTATTTACTTTTAAAAAGCGGAAGATCTTAATCTCAATGTTTTAATGGTATTGAACACAAGTCCTACAGAGTTTTTTTTAATGACAACATGAGTTTTTAAAATATCTAATACAGCCAAAAGAAACAGGATAAGGTAAGATACTATCCTTATTAAGAAGCACAGTAAGATTGAAATTCATACAGGAAATAATTGTCCAGATTGAAAAGACTACATAGTGGATGTAAGCTACTGTACAGTTTCTGTAACTAACAGACCTACATATACCTTGATATGAATAAGCTCCATTGCAATTAGTGATTATATTCTATCCTGTCATTTCTCCAAGGAGAACAGAGTGACATCCATGGTTCTCCCCATTAATCTTCACAACAACCTTATAAAATGTGTTAAGCATTTTAGCTCACAAAGATCACTCACAGTGATATCCAATATTAGATCTACTTAGAGTAGACTAATTAAAATGAATAGGACTTAAGATACATATTGAGTGAGCATTATAAATGAGCAGAGTTCAACCCCGATTTCTCAGTCTGAACCAAATACTTTAGCTACTACACTAGGCTGACTATTATGTACTGCTCTGTGAACTATTACTGTTACCGCTATCAATGCCCATTTACATTTAATTTAGCCTGCAGCTAGCCTGAAACATGAACACAGTTAAGTCATCACAAAATCAGTGCCACTAGAACAGCAAATATTCACACAAAATACAAGTGAAGAGTTAAAAGCATCTTCATACCTTCCCCTTTTTCTTTCCTCAGTTTTCCATTCTGCCCAACAAAGGTACTCAGCAGCCTACTGTCAAAGTTTGTACCACTGTCAATCTATAGCATGGGTTAGGGATGATCAAAGCAGATGACTGACTAAGGTTCCACTTTGGGCCTGGAAGCTGAATGGCAACAGCATATGCAACTTCTACCACCCTAGCCCTTCAGGGAGGTCCCTAGCAACAAAATTAGTCAAATATTTAGAACTTGTTCTAAAGGTGATGTAGGAGAAAATGGATATTTGATTTGCTAACCTTACATTAGACTGATCTGGAGCAAGGTTTAGCTGCCAACTTCTTAAAGAATTAAATAGCAGCTTTGGATACATTAAAGGGGCTGCTGAGATTTACCCTCAGAAAGGTTCTAAAGGAGGTGGTTCTTCTATTTTCACCTTTGATGCATCATTTCCCTAACTGGAATTTCCATGTAGTATACCAGGATCCCACCAAATTGCCTTTTGAGTTTCATTGTTCTATTCCTGGGGAAAAAAGCTTACTTGAATGCTGGAGTTCCTAGTGGCAATCACCTAGGAAGATTGGGGAACTCCTTTTCTGTCTGGGAGGGGCTGTGCATTTTTCACCGTCACAGGATGACTCTCCATATTAATCTAGCATTTCTTCCTAAAATAAATTACACCTTTCCCCAATATCTCAGAATACTGTCCTGCCTGATTTTTGCTCCAATAATTCCCACCAGAGGGAGTGTTTGTGGCATAAATGACATGTGTGGAGAGCACTAAAAGTGACATCTGATGTACATAGGACATTGGAATCTCTGACAGCCTTTTGGCTTCCAAAAAACAGGGGGATGTGGGGTGGCAAGTGGCCAGATGCACTATTAGCCAGTGGGTTCAAAGCCTGCATCCTTGACCAACTATTCTTCAGGCAAACCTGATCTAGAGGAAATTATGGTCCTTTCGGTACATGGAACACAACAGCTCCTTCTGTATTAACTATTCAAGCATCTGTGGAAGCTATTTGCAGGGCTACTACCTGGATTCATTCATTCTACCTTTATCCGGCATTACAAATTTGACAGGTATACTTTGACCAAGGTGTCCTTTGGTTGCTGGGTTCTGCTACACGTTCTATGAGGCACTGTGGTCCCCCAGTACAAGGATATTACTGTTTGATATTCCTTTGCTGTTGGCTCTGCTGACCAGGAATGGAAAGTTGCACTTACAGAGAACTTCTGTTCTGGTCAGGGGAGGGGAAACTCAAAACCCTCCCCTGAGGTTTCAGTGACTCCTATTTTGTGAGACATGGGGGAATTTATCTTCATGTGGTGCTCTCTAAGTAGGAAGAGCTTCCTATAGGTCTGTTCCTTCTAGTATTCATTCATTTTCTCCTGTAATTGATAAGAAGTGCCACTCTTTTTCTTTTAGTTTTAGAATCTATTATAGGAGATTCTACTGCTGTAAGTTTTGCCCCTGTGGTTTGGAGGGAATGAGTGAAATTTTATTGGTGCTATCTTCTTAAGCTGGAGGAGTTAATCCTTCGCTGTTGGTCTATTATTCATTGACCCAAAGGACTTTTTGCAGTAAGTCCAACTGTGTTAAATGTCAGGTTTGTCATTACTTAAAGCATGAATTCGCAATGTGTAACCTAAAACTCCCATGATCTCGCGCTATTGGCTACAGTTCATGTAAGCTGTAGACCAAAACCTCTAGCAGGCTACAAGTTTCCCACTCCTAACTTCAATTATTCTTATTATGGATTTAACTGATAGGCTAAACCCAACCTTTATCCCAGTTAGAGTAGATCTGTTAAAATAAATGGAACTTAAGTAAATTATGCCTAAGGTTCATTTTAATTCATTATTCATTTCAATAGGCCTACTCTTAAGTAAGACTAGACCAGAGTTGGATTTAACCAGTTATTTCCTATAGACAAAAGTTGACAGAAAGGAAATCTTAGCTACTGCTATTGTTAGTTGCAAGGACAGTCCTTTTCTTTCAGACCAAATGTAGATAACAAAGACAAAGGTTCCATTTTCCTAGGGCACATCCAGTATTTCAAGTCCTTGAAAAGACCATCTCATTCAAGATGATCATTTACATGACTCTGTAACAACCATTAACACTGAAGTAGTTCATGGTTATGCAAAACCTACTTGGGGAAATTAACACCACAAGAAGCTTTTCAAGGAGATTGCAAAGTTTTCAGGATTTTAACTGCGTGTATTCCAAAAGGACAGGCAATGAGACAAAAGGTTGTTAAACTTATCAGAACTTTGGAGTTTATAAGTTACTGAATCACCTTACATTATTTTGAAAAATACTAATTCTAGTTTTCTAATGTTTATTTTTAATTTTTTATGCAAATCATACTCCTGACTTTCAGGCACTCAACCTTTTCCGGCCATGGAAATGTATCCACAGAAACATCTCTCATCCAGCATCAAAATAATGGAAGTTCAATATTAATTTAAGTCCTGAAACAGAAGAATTGACTAACTTGGGGATGTCTCTTGATGAAAAAAAAAATTGCTACAAAGATAACTCAATACCTTCTGGGGTCAGTGAAGGTTACTATAAGCACCTATTTCACAGCCACTCCTCTGTTTTGTTGCTGAGAAAAATCATAAAGCAATTATACAGAGCACGTGCTCTAATACAACTCCCCTTCCCATGCAGTTGCCTTATATCAAATCCAGCCATTAGTTTATCTAATCTTGTTCAGTCTACCATGATTGCTAGCAGCATCTGAGGATTTTCAGGTGAAACGGATTGAATCTAGGATCTTGTCCATATAAAACATATACTCTTTAAATTTCTACCACCAATAACTGAGAAGTCAGAGAACACTGATCTTACTTTTTCTGTGCCCCGCTTCTTTTCCCGTGGTTGATTAAGTTTCGCCTGTCGATCCACAAGGATCTTCTGCCAATATCGCTGTTCATTATCACCTTAATGAAAAAATGTTGCAACAATGTGTTATGCCTATACTGCACCTAGACAACACCATTTTGCTGACATGGCTATGTGACTATGTTATCATTTCTACAACTGTATGAAACTGTAGGGAGGAAATTATGAAAATAATTTTGAGTATGAATATCTGGCCCAGATGAGTTTCCAACTGAAAGGTATAAAACTCCAACATCATTTTTTTTTGGCTCTCCCTCCTCTGTTAAAGGATTGAAATCATTGTAATTCCTAACCCCTCATGGATCAAATTAATTAATTAAGATGAAAACTAGCATAATACAGATATTAAAATATTAACTATTTTGGCAAATGGTCTTCAAAAACTTTAAACAGTGATAGAAAGGTAAAGATTACTTGATATGGGCCTCACCACAAAATGCTCACAGCTTCTCAAGGATTGTTCAATAGCAGACACTGTGGTAAGCTAATGAAATTTTCTGACATTGTTCAGCAGTTGCTTCTTTTGGGGAGATTATTACACAGATAAATTTCATACTGGAACAGTCCTTATATACTGATACACACTTTCAAATTATTCCTTGTTTCATGCAAACTTTAAAATGGAATAATTTGCTATGCCCTTCTTATTACTAAAAACTGATATTACAACTGGAAGGCTAAACATTCATCTTCTATAATGCAATTGATTGGAAACCTTACAATACTTATGATAAATGAATAGGTGGCCTACAGACACCAACTTCAAATGAATGTTTGGTTTGCTTTGATTGAAACCTATGTATACCTTCTAGAAAGACTTAGGGTTAACCTTTCAGGTATGTACAGCGAGACCCCTCCCCCATCTTCTGGCTCACTGCCATGTTTTCAGTTAACTGAGGTTGACCTCAGCCTGAAAAAGAAGTCATAAATTGCCATTAAGTGCCAAAGGAAGTAATAAAGTGTTTTCTGTAAGCGAAGATACTCAACTGACTAGGGAAAAAATCATATGCTGAGGTAAGAATGAACAAAATTATGAAAAAATAAATGTATATGGTATACTGTATATATAAAATACTGTTCACTATAGTCTGTGCTTTCAGGGATCTGCTGGGGGCTTGGAACTGACCTGTGCTGATACGGGGGTCCTACTGTATATAAAAACATTAGGAAAAATAAATCATCTATCCATGGACACCATGTTGGGAAATCACTTCACTGATACCACTGGAGCTGTCCACTGTTCCTATGGTGTCCATGGGCCCTTGCACTATAATGTTTGAATAGAAGCAAGGAAGAAACATATGAACCCAAAACCACCTTCTGATTTGATACTTCATAGGAGTTTGGTGTGAAATCAATCTCATACATGAATCTGAAGTGTATCTTTGGAACAAGAAAACTCAATCTCTGTGCTGGTGCTTTGCTCCTTTATATTAATTGACTTGCTTTTAGATATTCAACCTTTAAACCCATGTTATTGTGGCAAGTTTGTATATATACACATACATACACCCCCTATATATATAAAAATAGTTGAAATTTAAAGGGAAGAATCCAAGGAAGATTGAACAGAGTCTGAGCTTCAAGATTCTCACTCCATATAAACCCAAGCAGCACAGAAAAATATAGTATAAAGGAGTGCATTCCTGAATACAATTCATCATGTCATGACTCAAACACACTTTTCTCAATCCACTAGTCCATATAGCAATGGACTGTTGTATATACTCCCTAAAATGAACATATATTCTAGGAGTTGGAATTACATAAAAGCAATAGTTACTACTGCAAGTGACGTGATACGTACCCCCTCATTCCTAAATAAGCCTTCCAAACAGAGATACAGATTGATACATATACTGAGGCAGGGATACAGGCACAAAAATGCACTTCTGACATTGTGTGGCCCTGGTTAAATTAGGAAATGGTTTGGAAAAAATATTAATGGCACAATATATCATAATATGGACATGAGTTGAAATACTCAGACAAATAAAACTCACCTGAAAGAATCTCAAGTTTCCAGTTGTTTTTAGTCTGCAGTTCTTTATGCGATTTTATTAAAGTTTCTGCATCTTTAGGTGTTTTAAGTCGCACATGACATTCTGTATCTCCCTCAAGCAGATCAACATAAGCAACATTAGCTAATGTTGCTAATATATCCTGTTACAAAAGACATCACAGTAATTACTAACAGTCATTTTTGCCTAGCTGTTAAAATGGTGTGGAATCATTTATCACAGCAGTAAAAAGCATAGGATGAATTGTGATAAATCAGACCAAAGACCTAATTAGTCTAATATTCTGTTCATGCATGGGCCAGACAGCCTTATATTATATATGTATTTTAAAAAAGAAAAGCCCATTTGTACTTTTAATTGTATATAGTGCATATTACTTTTGTATTTCAGGAAAATGTATACCTTCCCCGAAGCATTATAAATGTATTTTGCAGGCACTGTATTACATAAATAAAATAAAAAGCAGCAAAATAGTTGGCCTATATCTTGTCTTGCTTCTGAAAAACTTTCAGTCTTTTAGTCACCCTTCGAGGTAGACTAGGCTGGAAAATTGGTGTATGATCTCTTATGAAGCTGAGAAGCCAGTGATTTAAATCTAGGTTCTCTGTTTTCAGAAGTCAGCTCTTTAGCCACTGAACAATACTGATTAGTACACGTATCACAAGCCAACACTGTTTTTACATAAAAAAGTTGCTACAATGCCAAAACAACCAACAGCAATTGCTGTACTTAAAACATCTTCTTCTGACCAGGCATTAAATGTTATGCACTGTTTGAAGATCTTTATTTATGCTAGTCAAACACAGAATCTGGTGCAATAAAAGGTATCTTATCCCATTTGCTTCTCTAGGCAATATCAGGCACACATTCAGTATTCAGGTGTCAAAGTTACCATATAAATAGCAAAGATGAAAACCAGGACACTAGACAACATTGTATTACGCAATTCTTCAGAAGAGCAAAACATTCATACATTGTAACATCATATGCTTCTCATACAATAGCTCAATTGTCATGTCTATAGCTGAACTGTTCAGACATAAAGGTGATGGTAGTGTTCACGAGTAGAAAGATTATCTTATATGACCTGAAACTAAAGCTTAGTTCTCTGAGGGTAAATTTCTTGCTGTTTGAGCTAGTACACACATTATTTCAAGGTCTGTTAACATAAAAACTGTCTAATTTCTCTGTTTCATCTATCAAGGCTGTATGTTGCTGAAGGTGTTTCACTGAAGGTTGGAGAGAGTTTAAGGAATAGCTAAGTAAGATTTTTAAAAAGCACAAGAATGAAAAGTTCATTACATGATTAAACAAAGACTAAATTAGAAGTAAAAATTGTTCTGCTAAGCACTTAGTATAATATTTATGATACAATAGTCCAAAAAGTTTAGTCTGCAAAATGCATAATGCAAAAAGGTAAGACAACTCTTACTGTATCTTATGTTTTTTTAGTTTCTAAATTTAACTATTTGTCTTAAGGACATACATTTCCTTTTTCCTTTGAACCGTTTATAAGATAGCTCCAAATTTTCAAATGTTTCCATTATCAGGCAAGTCTGACAAAAGATGTTACACAAAAACTAATAGTTACAATTTTTAGAAAGGCTATATGTTACCTATTTTTAAAGCCCTGAAGTATGCTATTAAAGGAATAAAAACAAAGTGAAAGTTCACAGTAACTTACAGGACCAAATATCAGGAATGAGTTCCAGATAGGATAACTCAGTTGTAAAGTTCACTTATGGGGATTTATTCCCTCAGAATTAATAATGCAACCATCATGCACACGAGGTTTGGTGTATTTCAAACATTTAACCTATTTTATTATAAATACGTATCACTTGTCATTCTGCACTTTATAAATAAAAATATATGTAAAAACTTGTATATTGAACAATAAAGTTCAGGCAAATTCATTTGCCAAAAGTATCATTGGAAAAGGGAAGAACCATGCATCTCTGGAAGCATTTTGGGAAATATACCAATACAGAAAGTGATTTGCACAGATTAGCTCTTTCCTGTACACAAATTTGAAGTTTTCTTGTATTTGTTTTGCTTTGAACTACATTTTCTCAGAAAATTCTTCAATGAAACAGTCCATTAACAGATATTCTTCAAGGCATGTGCACATCTAAGCTGCGATCAGAAATGCATATAGAGGATGTATTCAACAAGTAAAAAGATTTGCAAGAAAAAGTTAGCCTGTGATTACAAAGGCATTACCTTGATGTGCTTCCTGCCTGGCAAAGGCTCAGCACTAATGATCTTCACAATTACTCCACCCTCAAACTGGGGCCCCATTGTATGAACCTTCTCAGCAGGAGCCGAACCATCACTGGAAGCTGTTAATTGAAAAGGAAGGCAGCCTTAATCAAAGTTCACCATGTTATTAATTTACTGTTGGACAACTTCAAAACTACACAAGTAAAACACTTTACTGCTTCTTACATTGGCTACAATAGCATTATCAGAAACCGAGAACCTGTCGGTCTGAGTTACAAGCACAAGTAATGCAACCAGTAGTACCTTTAATTCCTGTGAATAGTGCACAGCCAATTTTCTAGTCATTCTTCTGAATGCTAAGTGAATTTTGGTAGATTTCATTGCTTTGTATCAATAGTGGTAAATAAAGTTAAGCTCCTCATTAAATCAGTACAAAAATAAGTTATTACATCTGAACATAATGTAATTTTACTCAGTCTCAGTCTCGCTTTAGATCAAGAATGGAAAGACTTCAAACTTATAGGATCTGCTTTGTCTTTTGCTGGACTCCCAAGATCCACCAACTTCACTGAAATTAAAAATTGTCATTCAGGATCCAAGCATACATGGAAAATATTTTCTGTTTAAGAGTTGAAAATTATTTCATTCACTAACTCATTCCTCCCCCCTCCGCCAGATTTTCTCCATTTTCTTTGCCCTATTCAGAGTGGAGATTTAATTTATTGTTAATGTTTAGTAAGTAAAAGACTACTAAATACTACTACAAAATATCCAGAGTTACCAGTAGATGTTAATTTAACTTTGGCCTATATCAGCTATGAAGAACTGCAGGAAAGATTGAATAGCACTTAAGTTTTCCTTGGAATCAATTTGAAAAATTGTAAGAATAATTTCGTTGGATTGCAGCCTTTGGTTAGAAGACACAAACAAACTTTGACACTGTTTACATGTAATGCTAAACTACAGATTAATACTAAATGAATAAAAACAAGTGCATTACCTTTCCATTTGCACAGCCAGGTAGAGGATTAATTTAGTACTAATTTTGTATTATCCAATTCAGATATAGATTTATATGCAATATGAACATCAAACCTTTAGCGTGTAAATATAATATAGGGGTCAAATTAGATGCTGGATATGTGTTTATCAGTTCCTAAAACATAGAGGAACTTCTAAAACACATAAAGGAACAATCTTATACATCTTAAACAGGATGTCCTAAACACTGAATATTTTTCATTCTGATCATACATAGGATTGCACTCTAACTCTGTGATATTTTATTACAGTATATAGGCTTTTTTGATGTACAGAATATTTTCAAAATCTGAAACTACATTGTCCCTTCCTCATTTTTCTACTCTTGCTAAAATATTACCAAGTTCGTAATTATCAAATCTTATTCAAATTCCTTAAACCTCCCTCCATCAGCGTCTTCCACTCAAAAACAAATACAAATTCTGAAGGAATATACAATAGTTTTTACCTTTGCCATTTCTGGCTGCAGGCTGCTTTGGTACGCAGGCATCTGTTTCCATTTCCTGAACAGTTATGGGTTTTGTTTGGGCCATTGCTTTTTTCAAAGATGACATACTGGCTTTCTGCAGGGTTAAGTATTCTTTCTTCAGTTCCATCCAGTCATTTCTAGAGATATCAGGATTCAGAAATGTTAACAAACATACAGTATCAACACTTTAAAAACAATTCTTATTCATATGATCAGAAACAAATCACTTTGCAAAGATTTTTTTAAAGCAGAAGACCCAGATCATTCCTTCTATGTATGGGTTCAAGGTCCATGCTGCTTGTCATTCAGACTGCTTTCAGAAAAAATGAAATTGAGAGTAGATTAAGGGATATCTTATTTGGATCCACTTTTTATGGTGTACAAACATGCACATTTTAAGTTATACAAAACCTTTAATCAATCTCTACAAAACTGGATTTATTGAAAGCTCCAGCTTGTACCTGAAAAGATTGTACAGAAAGAGATTACCTGCCTATTATATGGTTCAAATAGGAGCTGAAGGAATTATTCAAAAGTCATAAGCAATCAGGTTAGTTCAATATTACTGATTCTAGATAATGATGCTGCAGTAGATGGATGCTGGTCTGAACTTAATGCATACTAAGGATCAGCACACAGGTAATAATTATGCATTAATTGTTAGGAAATCCAAGATATGCACTCTCAATCTGTAGATTAACACACATCTTCTTTATGTTGCATTTATAAACTGACTTTTTTCCTCTTGCAAGAAACTCAAGGCAGTTGGACTTACATGGCCTTCCTCCATTTCATTTTATCCGCACAGGAACAATCCTGTGAAGTGGGTTAGGCTGAGATTCAGGTGACTAGTACAAAGTCATCCAGTAAGTTTCATGGGACCAGAACTTCTCTGTCCATCACTCTATTCACCATACCATATCGACTTTCTATTACATGTCAAGGTATCATAAAAAATGTTTTTAACAATAACATTTGCTTGGGAAAAAAATATCTGAAAACTAGTTAAACTTCCCAAACACTATGAAGAAAGGAACATTTTTTAAGGTGAAAAACAGCAAAATTGTATTACATTCAGTTTACATGAAAATGTTTCTACAAATAGCTAGAGCTTTGCTAGTGGGAGCACAATGAGGATCATGCTGTTAGAAGAATGATCCATTGTTAATCTAATCTAATCTATCAAATAAGCAGAGCTGCTTCTTCTTTTTAAAATGATCTCTTTGGGTAATGGCTTTAACTGCTGATCCTGGTAACTGTGTACTTTAAAAAAAACCTCAAAGGCTTAGTCCCACCCAAGAACATACATTCTCAGAGTAAAGACATTAAATAACAAAAGATTTACATAATGACTCTGAGATAAAAGGACACTATGTCCCTCTTTGGTAAGGTATAGTATAAATAGACACTGAAGGCAGCCCTTTGCTACAGGAAGCTGGGGGGGAAAGAATATCTAAGGGAAGGAGCAAGGTAAGTATTCTCCTCATATAAATAAAGTTTATTTCCTAGATTCCATGTACTGGATGAACATTGAAGGATATGGAGTTCAGACAGAAAGAAGTACTGCCTTAAATGGACCCCTTCTACTTTAACATGGAGGTGCTTTCTGTATACACAAAAAAGTAAGTGCTTCCATGTTTTAGCAGAGGTGAATCCTGAACTCAATCTTAACACCCATACAAATTTTAATTGTAACTAGAGTGTTACTGTATGATTGCTCACTTCACATCATGAAATTACTACTACCAAAACAATGTACTTAACTGCAACGTGTATTCTATGCTCTTCAATTTTCCAGGAAGGTGTGCATAAACTCTGGAACTAGGCAAGTAAGGCACAATCTATCTAGAATATCCACTTTTAAAGAAAAGAACCTCCAAATGTATCAAAGCTAGTTTTTCTACATTGATTACCACCATTGTAAACAGAAAAATTAGAGTGTGACTACTGGAAAAGTACCACTGCATCATTCATACAGAGCCTTGCAGAGCAAAAGGGCTTTCATACTTCAGTTGTGGCAAACCCTTTTCTTTCTAAATACAGCTCAGTAATTCATTTCCATTAAATACCAGCATCCCAAACTTACTTGGAATCAAATTTTATTTATCTCAGTCTACCTTCCATCTAAATATGTTTAGCATCACAGCTTCAGAACAGACAATAATCTGCAATGTGTACTGAATTTAGATTTCACCTTTCCTCCAAGGAGTCTAAGACAACATAATTATTGCCTCCACACTTTTTCCCCCTCATGAGAGTCGTAGCGGGGAAAGGTCCTAACAAGAATTCTCTTATCTTTTGCTTGTTCAAAAAGTTAACACACATCTGACTGTAATTCAGTCTGTGTACTAAAACACCATGCAGATCTTAATATTATTGTGAATTGCCTGTTTTGCTTTTGATTGATATAGTTTCTATGACAAAAATGTTAGGACTTCAACAGTATTTCTATAAATACATATTTACTATAAAAGTTGTATGTACATTTAAAAAAATAATTGCATATACCTGACTTTGTCTTTTATAGGAAAAGAAGTTGTCAGCCCATGATAAAGGATTATCCACCACTTTAATGTGGAAGTACTTGTTTTGTTCCTTTAAAAAAGTGCTTTCATATTTTAGTGATGGTTCATTCTATAACTACTCAAAATTCAAAGATTGATTTATTTATTAATGGAAGATGTGGGATTGTGTAACTATATTGATTGCATGCAGAAGTTCTTCAAATAAATATAAGTTTTCATTCCAAGGAAGATATGTCAAAGAGATTACCTGGTCAAAACCAATATAGCTTTTTTTTTTTTTTTACTCTCATAAGCTTACAAGAATCCTCCAATGCACAAAGAAAAACAGATCTTGCTTGTGATATTTTGCTACAATCCTTTACTGTTGCTAATATGCACCTCTGTTGTATAAAATCTGGAATTGCACTTTAGCAATGGTGATGGAGTACAAGCCATTCAGAAAAATTATCTGGACACTTGTAATATTCAGCATGTTAAATATAACTTAATACTCTATTTCATAAAATGTATCTGGGGAACCTCTCTTCCACATTTTTTTTTTTTTGCATTTTCCAAGGTGGGTTTGGCTTTTCAGATCTCGCTTTGTATTGCAGGGCTTATTTATCGACCAGTTCTGCATGCCTCTTTCTCCAGCTCAAATTAGACTATCTACCTTGGTCAGTTTTAGAATATTTATGGCTTGATCCTTTCTCAAAATGTACAGCATTAAGTTCTTAGCACCCTAAAATGCATAGTTCTTCCTAAAATTATTAAAGAGATATGGCATCTACTTGATCCATCTCTCATACTAAATTGACTATGGGAAAACACAAATTTAAAAATTGGTAAGCAAAGCATATGGGGCAGAGTTGATTTTTAACCTGGCTCATTCAATGGATACTGATGAGTTTTGTCATTCTCACCTTTGGTTTCCTATTTACTGGATATCAGAGTCTTTTTAATATGATTTTGTCCAAGTTGGCTAACTGTTGGAGATACAATGCAGCTAATGCTTCTTCTATTCACAACTTCTATTCCAAAAGTTGTCTCATTTTAGATGGAGATATAAGAATAATGCATACAGTCTATTAGAATGGATGGAAGTTAACACAAGGACAACAGATGGATTTTCTGCACCAGCTAAAAGACTGATATATACTGCTGGAAAGACATCACCTATCTAATATAACATATTGGATTGAGGACTTAAAAACGCTTTCCATAATGTCATATTTAGACATTACAGGCAAATGAAATTAGATACTTGGCTTTTTTTTAAGCTTATGCATAATTACTTACTGATGTGTATTTTCATATACTCATGAGTTTAATTCTTGTAAGAAAACTGTTTTTTAATAGGTTCATTTGATATTCAATGTAAAAATACACACTATAACATGTACTAATGCGTATGATAGTTAATTCTGACATAGTCATTGCTTCTTTAAGGTTTATGCATATTATGAAAATAAAGAGAATAGTTCCATGAATTTTGAAAAAATTGTTTTATAGAAATGACATGTTTCCATAAAGAATAATTACTTGTTTATACTGATTCATGCAACTGCCCTAAAATAAACTAACTGATGTGATGAAATTAGGGTCATGTTCCAGCCAAAGCTAAGCAGATTGGTATCCTACTAATTTCAATACATATTCTAGAAATTCTATTGACATTACCTTGATGAAAGTGCTTAAGTATTTTGTCTATCACTTAACTAATAGAAGAATACAAGTTGTTGTATTTTCAGAGAAACTAGAAAAGAATTTGAATGTTTTATGCTCCTCACTACATATAAGACAAACCAAAAGAAGGGATTAGGATGTAGCACTGAAGGGCCACTTCCTCTAAATTCATCCTGAAACTTTGATTCAGAAATGTATTTTAAATATTATGTTTGAAACAAAAAAGCTTAGTAATCACCAACTAACTTTTCAAATTCCTTCCTTGTTGGCCTTGCCTATAACCACCGCACCACATCTCCCTGCCTATGCTAATCTGTAACAACTATGTACATATGCTAGAATTTTTTTTTAAAAAATAACCCTTCTAGTGTTGATGGAATGAATTCTTTGTGCATAAGAATAAGCAGATTGGACTCTGTGTTCAACATAATAAATTTCTTCACTAATATATAGGTATAAGTCTGGAGCTGGAAGAAGAATTGCTTTTCTTAGGTTTACAACTGCCTATGTGATTTTGCACTATCAAGTTCTTCTCCTCAACCTGCCCCCACAAAGGGTTATGAAAAACATAATCTTTAAGAATATAAAATAGTTTTGGGATGCAATCCTACACATGTCCAGACTGAAAAACTCCTAGAGTTTTCCAAAAGTAGGAGCTGTATGACGTTTTCTTCTATGTGCAGGACTGGGCTCTAAATTTTCTGTATCTGTTTAATCTACCTTGAGTGTAATAGAAGTACCTGAAATTTTAATAAAAATTAGACAAACTGAGTTGGAATTTAAAGCACAATAATACTGAAATCGAAAGGGAAGCTGAATATGAAGTACCTCTCAGGTATCTGACTATGGCTTACTGACCATATTAGAATGCTAAAAAGGCATTCTCATAGACCTCAAATTTCTTGATCTCAGAGCAGTTTCCTGGCAGAGAAAAAGCAAACATGACATCACCCTGCAAGTCACTAACAGTGCTTATTGCTTTTGTAGTGCTAGAATTTTACTTCACATGCTATAAATATCCCTGCATGCAAAACATACTTTGAGAGGACTCTCAATGGAATGACCTCTTCTCCCATCTTGTGCCTCTCTTTATGTTTCTTCTTATGTTTCCTCTTAGATTTTGAAAGAGATGTGTCTTTTTTATCCCCAATATCTCTTTCTTCTTCAGTGGAAATTTCTAAATGGAAAAAACAAAAATTATTCTAAGCAATAGTGGATTTACCACACATCTTTCCAGAGCTCAAGAAAATGCACATAACTGTCTCCTTAGTCTCGTGACACACATTTGTCCTCAAATTAATCCATGTGATGTATATTAACCACAGAAATAGTAACAGATCCAAGATCACCTAGTTAGCTCCATGAGGCTCTGAACCTCTCCCTCTCTAGCCCTTTTCTGATACATCAACCACTATACCTGACAAAAAATGACCTAATTCCTTTACCTTTGGAACAGTTACCAATCCATTTTAATTTAATATTAGACTCCAGTTCTTAAGTATATGCTGGAAATGTAACAACACAAATTAAATACATGCATACTTTTGCTATTTGGCTTACACTTATCAAGAAATAAAAACTGTATCACAAAGAATTGTGAATTCACCTGTCTAACATCTCTACCACACATGGTACCACGATGCTATCTTTGACAAAACATTCATACTGTATGTTTAGATATCCTAATAAATACCAAATAGATTTTTTCTTTTCCTCCTCCAACAGTAAAAGCTTTAACAGAACTTCTTTAATAGCAAAGGAACTGAAAAGCCTGAATCTCTGGCTATAAGCAACTGTCAGCAATGTTTGACAAACTGATTGACCCCTGTGCTGTGAAATACCCAGCAACTAACAGATTTATATATCTGTAGACATAATGTTCCATCTTGACACAGCACTGCCCATTTGAGATAAAGAGAAATGCTGTTGGCTTCTGCAGTTTTATATTCTCTTTTCATAGATTATTATACTGTCAAGTTATTAGGATACTATGCTAGCTCTGCATGTTTAATTTTGTATCTTCTATATTGTTCTTTATTCACTCAGTAATTCAGTATTACAAACATGGGATGCCTCTCAATCATTTCCTAGCTGGCATTCTAAGAATGAATCCTAAGCCAGTATAAGTTATAGAATCAAGCACATGTGATGCATTACTTGTCATTTGCATATTATCTGAAAACTTAAGGAAACAACTTTGTCTGCTTTTAATACAAATAGAATCCTTACGTTCTCTTAAATGGTATATAAATCCATTTCTTCTCAGGCTTTGAGACAAATTGCATTTACATCAAACTCCCATTCTCTCTCTCTGTTTCAAAACCAAACTCTCAACATGGCAGTGAAACTGCTTCAAATCTGTTTTAGATCTCACTCTTACCTTTGTAATCTTCTTGTCCTTCTGTTGATTCCTCTTTTGCAGAATGAACATTATCTTTCTGAGAAGTTTTCTTTACCTTTACACTTGACAAATCTTCATCCCCAGAGTGGCTTCGCTTTCTCTTTCCTGGTTTACTTTCTCCTAAAGCCAAGTTTTCCATTTTATCAATCTTCTTTTTTTCTTTCTTTGAATATTGTCGTTGCACTTCTGATAATTCTATTTCAGAATTCTCCGACATTGTCCGATGTCTTTTTGGCCTGCTTGTGTGTTCTACAGTAACCTCCATGTTTAAGTCTTTTGTTTCTGCAGTTGGCTGTTGGCTGTTTTCCTTCTTTGTTTTGGATTTCTTCTTCTTTTTCTTCTTCTTTTCTTCTATATGAAAAGAATAATATTAGTATCAATATTTTGGATTTATTTCATGTTTATCCTACTTCCAAAGAGCTCATAGTAGTTGTGCACACCCCTATTTACCTCCTTCCCTTCCTTAAGGAGTAACTCCTTACCCTAATCTCTTTTTAAGAAACTGAGTTGAGATGAGCAGCCCAAACATCACTCAATGCGTTTCCTTAACGAAATGGGAATGTGAACCCAGATCTCTTCAATCCAACTCTCTGTCCACTATCCCACATTGACTGTCCTCATGTGGCCTGACTCCAGAAATAGCATATGCGCAACTTAGGAAAATCAGAGCATAAATTCATTTTATTTCACTAGCTTCAACTGAAGTAAGTTTAAATTCAAGGATATTAATACCAATGACACATCAATTGCACTGAATTTGACTACAGAATGGAGCTATCAAAAAGGCAAGTATATAGGAATCCTGGTAGGTATAATGGCTTTCACATGAATATCCAGACGCACAATGATGGTGAAAATGATCAAATCAAACAGCCACACTCACTCCCCAAACTGGCATGTCCACTGGATAGCTGCCTGCTTGTTAAGGTGAAAGGGTCTACATGTGCTCTGATACATAAGTCTCCTTATGTGAACTCTGGCAAATGAGAGTTCCTGCCTGACTTATAGAACCCTATGTGCTCACATCTATAAACACTTAGGGCTCCTTTTCTCCAACACTGAATATGGGAGTGGGGCACAAGAATCAGGCACTTCTTATTTCTCCTTTACATTTTATTCTTTTTTCTGTACTCTATTTCTTTTAAGAAAACAATGAAAATATATATTTTTTAAAAAGCATCGGGCACATCCTTGTTAGATATCTGATTCATGGGCAAGTATTGTATGAATAATCCACTTATCTAACTTCCAAATTCCTTTGAGATAGTGATCCGCTTTCTATTAACACATGTTGCTGAAATTAGCATTTTTTTGCAGAGTGAAATGATGGTTATGTTTGCAAATTCTTTCAGAATGCTAACATTTCCTATATGTGGATCTAGAACAGGTTTTTGGTTTTTTTAAAACAAGGCAAAGTTTTTGGAACATAGACCTTTTTTGACCATTTGAGAAATTGCTGTGGGCACCAACACAAAATGGCTACAACATGTAGTAAGACAAAGGATAAGTAACTTACCCCAAAACCTGAAAATTATTTTTAAAAGGTGAGGGGTTGAGCAGGTACCAAGAAAGGATACACAGAAGCCAGTAGACAAGATGGTGCTGATCCACAATCAAGAACAAATGTCTACCTTCCAGCAGTATATAAAAATCTATCACTGTAACAGAAAACTTTTCTCCTCTGAAAATCAGTGAACAAAACTATTACCTTTATACTCACCAACTACAGTGGAATCATCTGTAGGCAGCGTAGGAACAGTCTTGTTTTTTACTGTTTTGGGGAATATACCAGGTTTTCTTGGTGCATCTTCTGGTGGGTTATTCAAGAACTTACATGTGAAATTTAAAGAATATAAAATAGCTAGTTACTAAAAAATTAAATTCCACTCATTTCTAGGGTGCCTTCTTTACATGCCTGAATATCTAGAATGTGTTGAATTTGTTCTGGTTGACTAGAAAATTGCAACAGGACATAAGGGAGCCTTTTCACAATGCAATAGATTTATGCTATACTTGAATTTTCACTCTCTGGCACTGATATGATACAGATATTGAAATAAGGAACAAAAATAGAACACCAAGGTATAGCATGTGTTCCTCTCATTACATAAAAACCAAAGGGTTTGAACCAGAGTTGTCATTTCATGGTACAGGATTCAATCTGGCAGAAGTTCTCACTGGGGAGATGGGAAAAGGGGTGAGTTTAGTGATTTTCCCATCTCCTTGAAGCATCCCTAGACTATTCAGAAGAACTCTTAACCCTGTAGATGGGGTGGAGCATGAGGAGCTGCAGAGAGAAAGGGGAATTTGGTAAAATCACCTCCTTGCCTCCTTTCTGTCAGGGCAAGCATTCCAAGCAGAATCCTGCTCAGAAAAGTCTGGAACCAGTTCACATTTTTAAAGTCAGAATAAATCATGAGAACATAGTTTAACTGAATTGATTTCTAAAGTTTTAGGCTGCAAACCCACCCTTACAAAATTAGAAGTCTGTTGATTTTAATGGGCTTAATTTGAATGTAAATTTGCATAGGATTAGACAGCAGTTACTTTTGGACAGTAATAAATGGAAAGTGGATAGAATTATGAATGGTAGGACGCTGGAGCTCTGTATCACAAGTAACAGCACAATCCTCTGTTTTGCTATTCAGAGGTAAGCCCCACTTGAATTAATGGGTTTTATTCTGAAGCCGGCATGTATACAACTGCTTCATAAATATATCCTGAGTGGTTTCACATTCATTCTAACTTTTAGCAGATATTGCCAGGAAATTTTCAGATTCACCACAATGGAAAATGGCTGTTTTTGAGACAGAAACATAGAAACAAAGCAAGTCAGAAGGGGTCTCCTAGGCCATCTAGTCTGACCTTGGGCTCCAGCTGGCTCAGCTCCTGACACGCGGAGATATAATGTAACCATCCACAGAGCTTTGGTTGTGTAGCAGTACTGAAATTAAATAAAACTGAAACCTTCTGCAGGTAATAAATTCTGTATCTCCAAGTTCACTGCAAAGAGTGTGCCTTGATTACATAACTGTAGCCACAGAAGGATTAACACTGAATTACAAATTGTCCAAGAAATGGTATTGGCACAGAAGTCAAAATTTTGTATAGACATGAAGTTAAATATTAACACAAAAATAAACTTAAGTTGTCTGTAACTGACCTCTATTGCCTTTTCTGCTTGTTCTTTTGTTTCAAATTCAACAAATGCGAATCCCTTTGGGTCTCTAGTAGTCTTATAGCGAGGGATACTGATGTAAACTACATTACCACATTTCCCAAATACCCGCTCAATCCAGCTGTGATTGACATTTTTTGGAAGTAATTCCTAAAGCAAACAAAAATAAATAAAAGGATGGAGATATGTTATTAGTACTACTGCATAAATATTCAAGATCCACTATAGTCACTGCATATGTTAACATCTGACATCCTGAATGAACCAAGTCAGGACACAGCTATTTTATACTTCATACATACATAATTTTAACAGATACTTTCCCTTACACTTTCGTTTTATATTTTGAGGACTCCTGACTACACCAAATATTTGAGTGAGAAAAGGTATTTCAAGGCCACATCTTACACCTTATCACAAGAAATACCAAGTGGTAGTTTGTGCTAAAAATTTAATTCAAGATCCTCATTTCTGCATTTGATATATGACTAGCATGTGTACAGAACCAGCAAAGCTTGAGACAGGTTTGTCAGAATGGTGTGTTAATTTGTAAAAAAGAATGCTTTCTGTAATATTGGTTTCTGTAATATTGAAGTGAGATACCTCCCACCTGCCTGCCACTTTTGCTTTTGCATCTGCTTTCTAAAGCATTCCAGGAATGCCTTGTTCTTGAGGTGTTTGATGTGGTATGTGAACCCAAATCTCTGGGGTGCTGAAAGACAGTCTATAGTTTGGAACTCATAGTTTGTTGCTGGGTTAAAATTCTGGATTACTTGTCCCTCAACATACTCAGAGTCCAGATCGGATGTTCCATAAACTGGATGTTCAAGATGGTGAAAAATAAAAGATGTGAGTATACAACTGACAGTCCACCACTTTCCCCATTATTTTTACTTCATAGTAAATCAATTGAGAATAGAAAGAATAGGCACACAATTCCCTTTGATTAATAATGCTAGAAGCACTTCATCTGAAAGTACTTTCGGTCTATTCCTGTACTGTTCCAGTTTCAAACCAAAAACTGTGAGCGGTATTCTTTTTTGCTAATGAGAGCTTTGGTAAAGTGTCAACAGTTTCTACTTCTCAGGGTTACCATACAACATTTTGAAAACAGATACTATCTATGACATGGAGAGATCCCTTTCCATCAATAGCATTGACATTTTCGGCATATCCCAAGCAAATTGTGTTATTAACTTTAATTTTATTCCTTTTGGATTGCCTCACAGTTCATCAAGTAATGCAAGTATTAATTCAGGCCCCTTTTTCAACAACTAACCATACCTAAGACATTTAAGAATATTAAAGATCTTCTACTGCTGGCAATACTTTTCATTATAAGATGAACTGGAACTTTTTATGAACAGCTTCATATATCCATTCGTTACAGAATACATATCTTAGGACCAAGTAAGTATTCTGTCTCCAGCTTACAGCCGTTAATGACATCACCCCAGCAATCTTGCTGCTGGAGGTGCCGTGACTCCCTGTCTGATGACTGCTGGTGATAATTATGTAGCCTCCTTTCCACAGCAAGTTCCACAAGAAAAAGTATCAATGCATTTCTGCAAGCAGAAGGAACAGAACAAGGAAGTATGTTGCATGAATGAGCTAGCCCTGTCCAGGTAAAATTTACTCTATCCACCAGGTTATGCCATTTTCTTCCCTGGGGTGTGGATGTGTGTGGGCAAAAGGAAAGAGTTTCTAGTTCAAGTGCTTTGTAGAGGGCAAGATGACCTAGGTAAGAAAGGGACAAGATGGAAAAACCACCAAGTCTTTGCTACCGGTGCCTGGAACTTGGTGGAGGAGGCCCTTAGGTCCAAAATGTTTCTAACCAAAGTGATGCTTGTGACCCTAAGGGCTAGCATTCTAACAATTGCTCCCATTCCCAGAGCCACCAATGAAGGCCCTAGAGACTTTAGCCTGTGATCAAACTCCTACCCTCTTTTTTTCCTGAGGAACATGGTTCTCCTTATTCTTACAACAACCTTATGAGGCTGGCTATAGTGAAAGCAAGAGACTGGTCCATAGTCACAATGGCGCTACGGGGCCTTACCCAGCCACTTGTGGGAAACATACCAAAATAATCTCCTCACTTTGGGAGTTATACCTAGGGCTTCCCCAACATACACTCTTCATCTACTTCAAACTCCTCAGGGCTCCACATGGGAGGACTCTAACTTCATGAAGCAGGCCGTCCTCGAATGAAGTCCCTCCCTGGGCTTCCAGGGCTTCAGTGAGGCTCAAGGAACAATGCAGGGACCCACTTTCTGGGTTACATTTGGTGGTGCCCTGAGATGCGAAACATAAAGCTGAAATTACCAGCAACTGCTTTCAGTCTTAGGGAGGAAGCTGGTATGCCCATGAGGAAAGGCCATGGCTTCATAGCTAATCACAGCTGGGAGGAATCCCCCCACTGGCCTAAGTGTTGGAACCCCTGGCTGGACCATCCATGTCCCTGTGACTGGGGAAAAAGAGGGGACAGGGACTTACTTGATCCAGGAACTTTGCTGTCACCCAGATTGGTGTCCCATTGTTTTCCCTTTCTTTTTCCTCCTTTGCTTTATATAGATTTTTCCCATACTGAGAGCACCAAAATTCTGCCTCACATCATGAGACAAAAACACCCAGAATTTCTGGGTAAGGCCTTGCCTCCTCTGGGGAGTTCAGATCAACGTGAGCCTTTTCTGATTCAGAGGAGTGCTTCTCCAACACTAGCTTGCCTTCTGCTTTAAGGGGAAAACAAAATATTTCTTTGTTTTTTCTTCTTCAAAAGAGTTATGATTAAAAAGGGGTTTTTTAATGAAAAATTTGAAGTCCTAATTTAGAGAATATGCAACAGTTCAAAAACAGAGACATCTTACCACATATACTGTACGACTATCCACATCTTTAGGTTGTTCACCCAGTGGCTGACGTCTTCTTATCTTAGTTCCTTCTAAATCCAACTGTAAGATATAAACTAGTTAGGGAAACCTCTTCTACAACATTTCCTCTCATTCAGCATTATAGAAGATGACCAAATACCCCAACAAGTTTTATACTCACTTCTACAACAGATGAACTTTTAACTGCTCGTGCTATCAATTTTCTGTCAGTGGTTAATTTTTTCATTTTGTTAAACGAAACCAGAAGTGATATGTCAACATCTAAAAATAGAAAAGTTGAAATCAGTATGTAAAATGGTAATAAAGTGACTGACCTGGCTGCAAACAGTCAACAGTCCATAAGTATAAAAAAGTGAGATGTAGGGAACATGCAGGTGCACTGCTTGCAGTACATCTGGGTTTTCCACATCCTGCAATCAACTCATTGTGCAACATGACATACAAGCAAACATCCGGATTGCTTAGGGGCTCAACAACCCCAGTTAACCAAACAAACAAACCATGGGTTAACTGTTAGGTTTGGCTCCAAAACAATCCTGTGGGCTGGATTCATGCAGCACACTGTGCAATCTAAAAAAGTCAGCTGTGGGTTATGCCATAAAGCTAAACCAGAGGCCTGCACATGCTCAACAACAAATTGGTTTTGAAACTGGTAACTTGTTATGTCTATAAAATCTCACTGGAAAAGCTTTCAAGACTGGCCTTGGAATTTCACAGTTAAGGGAGCATATCTGCCCCTAGAAGATCCCGCATAGGCTGCTAACTCTCTGGCATGATTCTCATAACCACACAAGAAGCTTCAGCTAATAGGGAGTACAGAAATGTATTAAGATAAATAAGAAGCTAACTGATCTAACATAAGTTCTGTACCCTATCATATTGCTTTGCATATTGCATTTTTTTCCTTTTAAAGGGATTACCCTATCATTATGCTTTGTTCACCTATCACAGAGTGTACATCCTTTTTGGGGATTCATCTTTCAAAGATTCCTATGAAAAAACACTTTCCTACAACAGCTTACCGAGTACAGATTAATTAATAGATTTTATAGACTGTCTATCTACTGGTGTCTCGGGATGGTTTATAACTGGTTATAACTTACTCCTTTAAGTAATTGGGTTCCAAGCCATGCAGGGCTTTTAATGTAAGTTCCAGTTGTTTGAATTGGGCCCAGAAGTGAACAGATAACCAGTGAGGTTCTTTTAAAACTGACATTTCTTACTTATTTCAACAGCAACAAACTTTATTACTGGCCTAGTAAAGTATAAACTCACATCCATCTCTAGATTTTTCTATTTGCTCTCGGAGAAATCTGTCCTTGTGAAGATTGACATCACCAAACCAAAAGTCCACTTGCTTTGCTATGTCTGAAAGCACCTGTTTAACTCTAGACCTTTTCTTTTTTTCTCGTTCCTTTCTTTGTTCAGTAGTTTCTTTTTCCATGCCTTTGGTTCTTACAGCTTCAGTCTCCATTCTTCACACTTTCTCACCTGAAAGTTAACATAAAATGTAGCGTATTTTTAGTCTTTAGGAACACACAGTAATCCTTTGAATGTTTATAATACTACAATTACTGCAGCACCATTACATGATTAAAATCTATGCATGAAATAAATGCATTGTTTTAACACTGAAGCACAAAGATGTTGCACGCCACTTCCTATTCCGTGTGTCCAAGGTTTAATTAAACTACTTAATTTTCTACTTTTATAAACATTTTATATTTATATAAAATTATAAATTATAAAAATTAGTATAAGTCATTTTCAGCTACTTATTTTTAGTATAACAATACAATAGTCTGCATACATTAAAGTACTCATACATTTCATTTTATAATGACAAACCATCATCAATAGGGTAAGTTGCTTTTATAGTGAGGCTCTGCTTTTCCAAATGATCAAGCGGCAAATTTAAAATGGTTCTACAGGACTCTTAATAGAAATATTCTTCTGTTACTTTCACAGATATTTCTACTCAGAAAAGGCTCATGCAATATTTTTCCTTTCATTCCTCCCCCCGTAGCAATATTTCACCACAGAAACAAAAACAAACAAATAAGTAACTATAAAAAGGCAAGAGAGAGGAAACCAGAAATGAAATGAAATATCAGACTGTTCAACAGTCAACAGAAAAAAGTAAAAGGGGCAATTGCCAGAGAGTAGTACTAGTCAGTTGTTAGCTAGGGGGTAGCTGTGTTAGCAGCAAAACCAATGAAGACTACAATTGCACTAAAAGGCACTTTGTGATGGGTAACCAGCTATGGTAAGTTATCATGTAGTGAGAACCTAGGCCATTTCGCATGGATTGGCTTGTTCACGGGAAAGAGCCCACCTTGGCAATCCATAGTTACAGAAAACCTGTGTAAGACACAACCCAGAATGTCAAGCCAGGATGTAACAAATCCCTGCTTGGTTTAAAACTTCACTGGACAACCAGCCTTTCAACCTCATGCAGTACACTAATACATTTCTCTGTGCTTCTTTGAGAAAGGGAAATAAAATATTGCTAAAACTCCCCAATATGATCAATACCAAGCCAAAGGAAAACAATTAAGTGTATGAGTTGAACAGCTGAGTTAGAAAATAGTGGTAGTCCTACTGAATAAGACTAAAGGCTTGTGTTCCCACTGTGGCCAACCAATTGCTTATATGACAACCAAAAAGAAGGCATGAAGGCAATAGACCTTGGTTACTGATACTTCCATGTAATTAGTAGTAAGAGGCATGTTGCCTCTGATCCTGGAAATAGGATAAAGCAATCATGACTAATAGCCATTCTTCTTCATTAATTTATCTAATCACCTTTAAAAATCATCTGTTAGCAGCAACAACATATTGTAGTAGCATATTCCATATATTAAATATGCACTGTACATAGAAATACTTCCTTGTAGCTATGTGGCACAGTACATGAATTGCATGCAGAGGATTCTTGGTTCAATCTCTAGCATCTTCATACCAAGCTGGAAAAAAATCTTTGCTGAAACTCAGAAAAACTGCTGTCAAACAGTGTCAACAGTTCTTCCACTGTTCATTTTTACTTGAGGACACTAGGTTTTCATAACATAAAAAAGGAGTATGCAATTTTTTTCACATGCTTTTTCTACACAGGAGCCGAGCCATTTTCAGCCCAAGCACCAAATTATATTTCAGAGCTACATTCCAGTGGTGGTAGGGCCAAAGCACAAGAGGCAGAAACAAAATGTTTAAAATAACTGGCCTATTTTACAGATAATAATGTCAGTAACAATCTTCACAAGAGAAATTTAATCCTTTAAGAATGGAGAAACCATACAAAAGCCTGGGAACCACCAAATTGTCAGTAACTGGGGTAATGAGGATGAGGTCAGAAGAAAAAAGAATGGTCCTTTGAGGAACCCTGAAGACCAGTTTAGCACTGAGGAGGGGGGAGGGGCAGATTTGTATCCAAGGCCTAATGTTCTGGACCACTAGTCTTAACTCTACTGCAGACCATTTATCATTCAAGAAACCTCTATCTTGTTCTGTCTGTTTAAAAAAAATGAAACCTCCATCTAAATTATAAATAACAGAGTTGCTCCTCCTTTTAACCTGTATGATTATTGTTCCCATCATACCACATTTGGAAATGCAGACTTAAGAAAATGAATGTAAGAAAATACTGTCCTATCAAGTTTTCTTATTTGGGGTGCAATTCTATGCATCTATGGTTAGACAGAGAGAAGTCTTTCAATTTCCAGCCAGCGCATCTAAACACCCACAAGATTTCATTCTTAAGGTACACACACATACACACACACTTACTCTGGAAAGCAAAGCAATAGGTCGGGAAACAGATTTCTTTCTCTCCTTCCCCTGCCCCATTCAAAATACTAGATCTCAGAGCCACACAACAGAATTATTTGGCAGAATAAGACATGATCAGAGTGAGCACTTCCCACCCATTACATAATTATTATACTGAATTTATTACTTCAATTTGAAAAAAAAAGAGGATTTTACTGAGGCAGTTACCTTAGTTTTAGGTCTTATAAAAATTAGTGAATTTGTCTAGCAGAAGCTATTAACTACATAAACTAAATGGAAGTGCCAGCGTAAGTAACAGCATACCTCTGAAATCGTATGCTGGAGTGGCAGGAGGAGGAAGGGAAACTGCTGACTTCAAGAACAAGATTCCAAGACTGTCGGCTGGCCACTGTGGAAAACTGGTTAGTGGTCCAGAATGGCAATTCTGTGCATACTTTTCACTTTACCTAAATTTTTGCAAAGAATAAATCTTGAGTTGAAATGAGCAAGTAGGCCATATCATATTTTGCAGCAATACTTAGGCAAACTATTAATGAATACATGATCTTATCTATTGTGCTGGTAATGCTAACTATATGGTAGGCCTAGTGTGTGCGTGTGTGTACACATACCTATATTAAACAAAAGTATTAAACGTTAAAGGAACTGCCCTGGGTTATAGCTTATTTATATCCCATTTTTCCCTCTCAAGGGACTTAAGGCAATATATACAAATCTCCTCTTACTCTCAATCTTATTATCACAGTAACAGCCCGGTGAGGGAGGTTGGGTAGTTCATATAAATGTATAGCTTTACACCGCTTACAGTCTGTATAGTTGAGCCTATGAACTGGTCCCAGTTCTGTGCTTAAGTCCCAGTGAATGCCGCAACCTGCAGAACTGTACTATTCCTAAATCTTTATGCTCTTGTCTGGGACCACGAAAGTGCGTATCAGTCGGGGAACAGAAAACAGAAAGGGGGTCAGGACCCATCACGTCCCTCGGCTGGCCCAAGCGCTTAGGGGAGCGCGACGGGCTTGGCTAGAGCTGGTTCGAACTTCGCCTCAGCCATCAGGCTCACTAGGTAGGCTTACCGCAGCCTGCCTAGCCTACCTCACCTGGCCGTCGCGAGAATAAAATAAACAGTGGGGAGAGCTGTGCACGCTTAGAGTAAAGGCGGGTTAGTCATCGTACTTCCGAGACTACACACCCCTCTTCGCCCCAGCGCGGACAGAGACTACACTTCCCACCGCCCCTGAATGACCACGGCCGCATTTCAGTTGCAGCCGGGCAACGCCCACGAGACCCGCCTCCTCACGCACCGCTCAACGTTCTTTAGCTGTAACCAGGCGCGGAGCGAGCGCATGCGCGGACGCCATTAGTCGGACAGGCCTTTTAGTTACAAGAACGCACAAAGGGTTAAACAGTATCGATTCCCCTCCCTCCTTCCATTCCACATGCTCCCAGTCTAACCTGAGGCCACCAGCCAGCGTGGACAATGTCACACCCAACGAAAGTTTGAGGAAGAAACCAGTCTCCTACTTTTTCCTCCCTACACGTTGGAGCATTAAATTCTCGCGCGACATATTGAAGCCCACACTCTTCCTCTGCCCTATTGGTTGTTTAAAAGGTGAGCGGAGCTCGCTTCTGCGCAGGCGCAAGCCGCAGTCGCGTGCGTCTCTTCCAGGCGACGGAGTCATTCTCTGCTTTGCAAGTTGGTTGTCATAGAGATAGGAAAAGTATAGACGGACACATGGTGAACATCCGTAAAAAATAGCAACTGGAAGCTGTCGCTGGCAATGATTCTCAGAGTTTATAGCCTGGAATTGCCCTCCTACACCAGAGTACCTTCGAGATAAAAACACCAACTGGAAATCCCATTGAATCCCAGTAACTCTGAATATCACGATGCAAGAAAAATGGGATACAACTGTGACAACAATGTAATGTAACATATCTACTAGTCTAAATGTTATGAATCTGCAGGACTCTTCCCTCTGTATTTCCCCATCCCATTCCTATCCCTGCCAACCTGGTAATCTTGCCAAAATGCTCTTGTTGTTGGGAATCATGTGTTCCGTGTTTCAGTGCTTGTCCTTCTCTTCCTTTCAACAATTGTCAGCCAGTGGCTTGTTGGGAATACGCATATAGTGGGCCTTTGTAGAACTGCGCCATCTAGGGTCTCCGAGTTCATTTCATTCTTAACATCTTTCACAAATAAATGGCTGTCAAGTGCCCAAGTAATGATGGTCTTTTCCATCACCTTCTGCTTTTTGTCTTTGTGTTCTTCTTTCAGCTCTTCACTCTAAGGGTGGTTCTACCAGATCTTTGCTGGCCTATGTACAGTATAATGAGTGGTGCTGCTATCTTCATTGTAAGACATACAGTCTGGTATCTCTTTACGGACAACACTTCCTTTGTTCCTGGGTAGCCTTCCCACTGGCTGTAATTAGTGGGGTGATCAACATCATCTTAAGGGAGAGCGAATGTAATGTAACTACAACAAATTGTCATGTAAATGTGAAACAATTCTTTACAAATGCCTCTTAAGCATATGTTCTGTATATAACAATGATAGGTGAAAACCTATACAACTCCCAGCATTCCCAGGATTATGGCTTTTTACAATCTAATCGACCTGAACCTCCATTATACATAGAATCTCCGCCTGACAACGCAATGCTATGCATGTTTTCAGCCCAGCTGAGTTCAATGCAAACAGGACTTCAGCCGGAATATCACCATATCCAATACTTCCAGTGCTGTCAGTGGACTGCCCTCTATCTGAAGGGGTATCCAACCCAAATCCAATTTAAAGACAGAATCCTAAGAACCGCTGCTCACTCATAGTTCGCACCTGGACAGTCGTTTGAACATGAGGGTATATTTCTACTGCATTTCTATTTAAATTATAACTATACATATAAATTGGCAAATGCACATTTTATACAAATCTGTGACTTTTGCGAAGGCATCAGAAGAAGCCACTTTATTCTTTTGTCTCGCCAAGCTTTCGCAGGGCGTGGCGTAGAGGCGGTCTTTCTGCATCAACTCTATGGTGAAAACTTTGCCTTGGGAACTAGAGCAGAAACCCTGTTCAAGGTTAATCAGGAAGTGAGGAGTCGTGGCCGTATGTGAGGTTTCACCTCTATGGTGTTTCTCGCGTCGTGTTGAGAGGACGTCACCGCTAGCAGTGCTGCGCGGGAAATTTAGGAAGGCAGTCGGAGCTGTGAGAGAGTGGGGTCGAGGCGTGCGGCTTCCTCTCGGCCCTCACGAAGGAAGGGATCGCTTTCTTTTGATACGGCCTCGGTCTCGGAAGGTGGGAGAATTGGAAAGCTTTATGCGCTCGCCTTTGGTTACTCTGGGCGGAAAAAGCGAGTTCCTTATTTGTCGGTGCCTGCCAGCGGAGACGGGGCTGCGTATCAACTCCAGATTTTAGTCTGAGTCTTTCCACTGGGTGACCTTAGGTCTTGAGGTGTCTCTTAGCCTAACTTGCCTCAAAAGGGTAGTTGTAAGCGGTAAATGAAGTGAGGCGGAAAACGATGCATGAGCATGCCAATCTGGGCACCTTTGCATACTTTTAACCATATAAACATGACATTATTTTGTTCTCCCTTTCTCTTCGTGTCAGTGTGAAGGATAAGGGGGAGTGCAGTTTTCTTTAGAGTGCAATCTAGAGGCCAATCCATGTTTAGGTGGAAGAAAGCCTAACATCCTCAGCCAGGATGTTTTCTGTCTAAATACGGTTGTGTCCTTACTGAATTTAAGTGTGTCAGACTCAGTGAAAACAAAAAGAAGTGACAACATTAGTTATTACAATATACATTTAAATTTGTCTTATTATACTTATTTTCTTGACAACTTTAATTAGAAGGCTGGAGCTATGACTTTCTCAATAATGTTTATTTCCTGTAGTATATTAAAATATTTTCCCAAATTATATCTCTGCTTAAAAGTATTTATGTAAATTTTATAATTGAAATTAATGAGCTCATTAATTAGCTTGCAAATTAATCCAATTATATTTAGACTGATTGTTTTCAGAAAGTCGTCTTGAAATGTGAATGAGACACCTTGTGGTAGTTTTGAAGAACTGAAGATATTGTAAGATGATAAACTTTACTTGCTTTGGAATTCAAATCAGCAAAAGCTCAAAAGTCCCTTTTTAAAAAAAAAATTGAGAATATGGTTGGTGCAGTGCTTTTGTGCTTAATCGTGAAGGCTACATTCCTGTTTGCACTTAGTCAGGAATAAAATTCATTCAGAATAATTAGACTTTTAATAATTAAGCACCCTTGCCTTGGAGTGGCTCCTTAGAACTCAGTTTTACTCACATGCGTGGAATTGTTGTTACTGCTGCTGTTACAGTACAACAGTTTATCAGTGGCCAGCTAGATCTTAATAAACAATTTACAAATAACCATAGGTTAAAATATTCCAACTGTTAAAAGACAAAATAACAATAAACAAATGATATTAAATTGTTTAAAATTACCTGTTACAATTTTAATTAAAAATTTAAAACACTGCATACAATATCTTTGTGGATCTTGCAGACAGCTGCAAAAAACCAAGAGCGGCAAGCTGTTGACTGGGCATTGGTGCCTATAAGGAGCTTCCTATCAATCTTTACATCCGATCTACCTGGCTACCTTCTAAGTAAATGAGAAATAACCTTGGCCCATATTTCTTGATAAAACTGACAGTTTAAAAAAAAGAGCATGTTCAGTTGTTTTGACCTCTCCATCACCACAAGGGCAAACCATTGGCATCTTACAACATCTCTCTTCCAAGACCACAGAGGGGAGTACTTGCCATCTTGCTAGAGAGAACATTGTACTGTATATTACTTTTTTAACTTCAGCATGTTAAGATTAGTGTTCAGGAACATTGTGTAAAAGTAACTCTTACAAATTGTATATGTAGGTCTCTTTATATCCCAGACATTGAATTCAACAGGATTTTTTTTTTTCAGGTAGCATGAAATTTGGAAACCAGTGATGTGATCTTGTTTGACCAAAGTGATGGCTTGTCAAGAGTTTACTGTGAGTCTGATATCTCAAAAATATTTTTGTATTTTAGTTAACAATATATCAGAGTTATCAGCATATTTGGGTTAATCATAAATGTAAACATTGGGTCAATAAAACAGATTGTGAACTGTCAATTAAAATTGTGTGTTTATCTATCAAAATAGGTTTTATACACACATCAGAAGACTAAAAAATCCAAAGTCTGGCAAGATGGAATTTTAAAGTCCACTGTTGGGGGAAATAAGGTAAAATATGTGCGTTCAGTAGGGAATTATAGTGACATCAATGCATGTTACTGTGTTGTTTTGATAAAATATTATCTAACTTTTTCTGCTCTAATACAGGCAACCTTATTTGATGACAAAGGTCAGATTTTGGATAGCATTTTTGTGAAGTTTCAGGTATGTTTTGTTTCCTTTAATGCAATTTTATTTGCTTAGTTTAGAAGATGAATTGCTTGTTCATCTTATCTAAAATCTGTTTTGTTGATTTATATAGGTCACATTTGTATGGACATTTTCAGTTCAGAGTCTTGAGTTATTTGTAGTTCCTCGTGCGTCATTTCATATAGAGTCAGCCAACCTAAATGCTCAGGAGAGCATGCTGTATTCCATATGAAGAGCCATTAAAATTAGTTTGACAGATTTATACAACAATTTTTCATCTGTGGGAACACTCTGAAAACTCTGTATGCTATGTTTGCAGTGGCCAGTCTCTATGAAATGCATACAAACTATGTCCAGGATAGAAACATGTTGGCTAATACAACATGACAAAATTTATCTCATGGCATGCTTATGTGAATTTACCGTGAACAAACTCTACTGCTGTGTTTACCTCTTTCCACCTGTTTGATTTCTTTCCTGCTGTACTCACTGTTTCTTCCTTCCACTGCAAGTTCCTTCCCTACCACCAATGGTCATTCTTGCTTTCTTCTTCCTCATTAGAGCTGCTTAAGTGAGCAGTAGTAAGTAGCAGTGGGGTGAGGAAATTGCCAGAAAGGGTCTCTCAGGCACGGAGTCACCACTTGATGGTCACCACTTTGCCAATTCTTTGTTTAAAAACATATAAATAAACATTAGATATAAATGCCAGAGAGGATTACTTACATAACTAGGCATAACTAGGAATTTTTAGGCAATCAGAATTTGGAATAGATATTGGAATAGAATAGATATACATGTTGTATCATTCATATAAACATGTTACCAGATAATCTCTCTCTTTCTAGGTAAAGTCTGGCGATGACTTGGAAAGTGAAAGATATTTAATCACAGTTGAAGCTGAAAAATCATCTGAAACTGGATGTAGTGATCTGCCAAAGAACACAGGAGGACCAATGTTACCAAGGAATTGCTTGAAGTCTTTTTCCTCTTCATCCCTACACCTGCCAGCAGGCCTAAAGCGCAAACATACTGTATGTTCTTTTTTCAGCTTCTCTCTCATCTTGTGTCTTGTATTCACATATGCATTTGGTAACTACTTACAGAACAATTCCTGGCCAAGCACATTTGACAGTAGTTTACTGGACCCGATGCTTCTTACTATCTATGATCTGCAGTACATGGAGCTGAATACAGCAAGTCTGAGTTGCTAACATCTGTAGTTATGAATGAACTGCCATAAAGCCTATCAATTTAAAAAATTGAGTTAAAGACAAGCAATTTGTAGTGAATGCAGGAACTAGTTTGTTACGCTTATGAAAATATTCCACAGCATTGGTTGTTCGTTGGCTCAGGTGTACCCAAGCAAGTGTGTTTTGGGTCACATGCAGTTAGCATTGCCTTCTATAAGCTGTTTTACAGAACGGTATTGTGTTTAAGATGTTTTAGTGTATATTAAGTGTTTTATATGCATAGAAAGATAAAATATGTACAAAAGACTCTCTTTTAACCAGAACTCAAGCAGCTGGCACTCTCAAGCAACTGGCAAAAAATTGTAAGAAATAATATTTTAAAAATTAAAATCAATTTCTAGTGAAAATGTAAGTTTAAACTTGGTGAGGTGTGCCATGAGTAAGCCATATCATACACCAACCACGTTTGTCTCCATTCCCACCAATTCACCATGTGTAAACATACTGATCAGTTGGGATCTTCTGTTATTCAAAGTCTGTGCTTTCACCCAACCCCAAGTAAGTTGAAACAAGTCCCAAGTAAGCATTAATGCATAATGCTTACCCTCAAGCCGAAGATGGAAATATGCAAGAGGCTTGAGAAATGTGGGAGTTGTGCTGTGCTCATGGAGGAATTTAATGTTGGTTCATCAACCATCTGACATTAAGGCTTAGTCTCAGAAAATAGCTTGTCTTTGTCTTAATTTGCTTTTAATATCCGTATTTCAATATGAATATGTCAATACAGAGGGTATGGTATGGGATATAGTATTAGTTAGGCCTATTTTTCATAATAACTCTCAAGCCACCAGAAACTACATTTATCTGGCATCTGCCAATCCCGATGGGTGCCGCTTAACTGAGAATCTGCTGTGCATGTACTTAGACAAACATTGGTTTACCATGCTAAATATGACCCATACACACATGATCTGACTTACATACAAATTCAGCTTAAAGATGTTCTCAGGGACTACCTGTGTAACAGAAATGGTTCTGTTTTAAATTTATATTTTTTGGAGGGGACATTTTTGGTGTTAAAAAGCCTATAAAAGTTATTTATCCTATTTTGATAGATGTATTACTCATGCTTTGTTTTAATAGAAACCCCCATTTTATGCTTGATTACTGATTCAGTGAAATAGTACTTAATACAACTTAGAACAAATTGTATAGGGTACAACACTACAGAAGTTAATACTAAAACTTCAGTTATGGAATTTGCCAGAAACTTAAGATGTTCTCCTTATAGGGTTCCCAAGGACCATGTCGGATGAAAAAGAAAATGGCAATGGAAGAACCTGAAATAGAAGTATCATCTACATCCAAGGGTCTTCATTCATCCTTTTCTTCTCTGTTATTTTCTGTTCCTTGCAAGAAAGAAGAAACCAACTTTCTCAGAAACAATGATGGGGATGCTTTCATGAAGGAACATGAAGACATTGAGTCTCTCTCAGTTTTGACTGTCACTCCTTGTACTGATAAACATAAAGTGGTGCTGAGTAGAAATCATAATACTGATGGTGCAGATGCTGAATATATAAAGCCAGAATTTCAACTGGATAATGGAATGGTCAAATCAAACTATTGTGCAAGCAGTGACGGGACAGTTTCTCAGAACCTCAGGAGTAAAGCACAAATTTTAGCACTACTAAACAGGGAGCAACCTGTAAAAGCCTCAGGGGAGGAAACTATTGCCTCACTGCAAAATCTCTCACTGCCATCAATTAAGTCAAAATTTCAACTGAATGGTCTGCCCTCAAGAAGCACAGATTCTTTCTTAAAAAAGAAAATGACACTTGTGTCGCAATGTGCAAATAACACTAATAAAGACAGCACTAGACACAGAGAGCTGCTGAAGACTGAAAAAACCGTGCAGGCTAAAAGTCGATGGGATGCGTACTTGCCATTATGTTTAACAGAGGAATTGTCTGATATAGATGACACAGAGCAGAACAACACCAATGCTAGCAATTTGCACCCCGTTAAAAAGGACTTAAAGGAGAATAGCACTGTTAATAGGAACCAATATAGAGAGGATAATAAACAGATTTTACAAGTATCTCCTTCCTTGGAGAGCAATATTTTTCCTTTTAATAAAAGTTATGTCAAAAACCAACTGCATGGGTTTATACCAACTCAATCTATCGTAAGTAAAGGCAATGAGATTGAAGTGTCATCTTTTGCTAGTAATCCTTATTTAAATTGCAAAAATATATCAAAAACATTAAAAGATGGAATCTTCAAATCGAGTAAATGCACCATTATTGGTAACTTAGAAGAGATTTGTCAGCAGTCACCAAATGAATCTGATCCAGTAGTATGTTCTACACATTTCTCAAATAACTCTGCACAAGGAAATCTTGATCTGGATAACCAGTTTACAGAGGTTAACTTCAGTCTGTTAGAAACATGTGATTTTAGTGACACAGAAGAAAGAGAGCTTTGTGTAAAAAACTCAGTGTGTTTTAAAGAGGAAACTGAAACACAACTGGAGGACAGTGTTCAAAAGAACTGTGATACAAAGGCAAGTAGTGAGGGGAAAGATAATCTGCAGTCAGCATTTCTACAAGACAGAGATAGAATTCCTATCTCAGAATCTCAGCCAGTGAAGCTTTATGATGAAATCTTGATGGAGCCTAACAAAATGAAGAAAAACTGTATTAAAATGCTGCAGCATTCAGACACTACAATTGTTGATGCAAAAATAATGGCAAATGCAGTGGATGCTCAAAATATAGGTGATAACGGAAATTTTGTTTGTACTGGCAGAGACTTGTTAATAGAAAAGAACGTGCACTGTGAAATGAATGACAGTAAGTATCATAACCAACCAACCCAGCTAAGAAAAAACAATATGATCCCTTATGTTCCTGCTACTTTAAATGGCTATTTCATGGATAAAATTAATGGTTCAGATATGGAAGTTGGAACAGATAATTTCCAACCTAGTTCCTTAGATATTTGTGATAACATGAGACCAATTAATTCTTTGCTAGCCTCCCATGAAAAATATAACAGTTCTCATTGTTTTCTCCAGTATACTTCAGGCAAGCAATACCCTGCACTGGAAAATAATTACAGTCTAAATTTAAAACCAAGTTCTCATTTCCATTATGAGTCTTCAAATAAGTCACAAATGAATAAAAATGAATTAGAAAATGTAGCTGGTTTCTTAGGTTCTTGCTACAAATCCATTGAAGATAAGGAAAAGGATTGTCTGTGTGTTAATCCTTCAGCTGTTGATTCTTCACAATTTTCTCCATTGGAAAATAGTTTTAGACTGTTAGAATCACTTACAGAGCATGGCACAGCCTTAGAAAGCCTGGAAATGATTGAGGAAAATACAAACATATTGTTGCAGAGAGACAGACTAAGAGAAAAACCGGAGGCAACTGGACATGAAGGTTATTAGCTGCTGCTGCTGCTTTTTTTTTTTTTTTTAATATAACTTGGAAATATTGTCTGAAGGTTTTTTTCATTCATTCCCTTTTCCACCTAATTTGAGTCCTATGGAAAGCTAGTTCAATGCCAAATAAACAGTTTTTATAACGATGTTATGCACATGGAACATTTTGTTCCATAAGAATTACCATCTGATTAGCACACATTCATCTGTTTGTTATAGGTTTTAGGAAGTTAGATTTAAAACTCATGTAAGTTGGTGAGTTTTCATGGACTTGCATAGAGGTTGGATCAGCTATAGTTGAAACTTCATGCTGAAACGAAATACTTTAAACAAATCTGTAGAAATGACTTGTATTGTCATGACACAGCAATAAATGAAAGTCTGGTGCAGATTTAACATTTATAGTCTCCAGACTATTAAAACCAGAGAGTTATTATGTTCTTCCTTTTCCATGTGAATTCCTTCTCCCTTCCATAGAAAGCTTTATGTCTTGTTTTGGCTCTAACAAAGGTTTTCATGAATGGTTCCCTCTTGCAACTAGAACTGGAAAACCCATTTCAATCCATAGTTAAGAAGGAAAATCTTGATTTGTGTTAATACTTGTTAGGACTGGTGCAAATGCAATATAATATATCTAAAGCAAGCCATAGGAAGGATAAAGGAATTTTCGTAGAGGAGAGACAGGGAATGCATGCATCCAAAAGAATTCTACACTCCCCAAAAGTTAATGAAATCAGAAGCATTTGTCTTTTCTGGGTCTTATATAGATATTTGTGTTCTGTGTACGCATAGATATGCTTCAGTATCTAGAAAGCCATAGTCTTTTCATTTAGCCTACATATATTTATATTTACACACACACACACACACACACACACAGACTATCACTGCAATTACACCAGGCTTACTGTAGCCATAATGGTTTGCTGCTTGTGATAGACATTTTGAATGTTCACCCCCAGTAAAGAGATGACATGGTTTGTTATGTCACTCAAACTCAGGAAGCAAGCCATTTTGGAGAGTGAAGCAACCTCAAATAATTCCTGGGATGTTGCTGGGTTATTTGAGGATTCTCCCCCCCACCCACAAGCCATGTCATCTGGGTTTGGTTGACATAGCAGCCTGCATCAGTGACAATGATTAGGAAAATTGGGTAAGCATGCGTGATGGTGGAAATAGGTTTTGCTGGGACTGTGCACAGCATTCCATGGTTAACCATGGGAACAGAGTAAGAGTTGTGGCAGCTATGGTAGGCCACAGTCATGCAAACCTGATTCACCACTACCACCACCACCAAGCAAGCTGCTTTTGAAGTCTGAGTGGGGTTTAAAAAGCAATAGATTGGAACCACATTTAGGCACATGCAACCAGGCTGCCAGCCATTCCAAAAGGTAACAGAGGGTCTGGACACCCTGCTGAATGGGGTAAACTGATTCAGGAGATCCTCACAAATCAGGTTGAAGCTATTTCCATGTGACTAAAAATGTACACTTCATTCAGCCCAATTGCACATGCCTAAATCTAGAATTTATAACTCAATTTAGAAAAACACCCTGCAAGTAGTGGTTTATTAAACATGGCAGCATATCTACTTGCCAGGTTTGGATGTCATGATAAGGTTTAGTGACTGCTCACTGCAGCTTGAATATTCACAATGGTTGCTGGCAAAGGCTTCAGTGAGTATGTAAACCAGTCAATAGCTCTGGTATTTGGCCAGTTGCAGGACTGGGAGATTACACATTAGGATTATTTATCTTGTGCTGTTTCAGTTAAAAATGAATCTTCTGTTAAGACATTTCAGATTTACCCAGTTATATCCAATTGGAAGAAATATTCTACAGAAAAAAGTTTGTTGTATGATTGTCACTGGTAGTATAAATTAGGCTAAAATAAATTCTGTATTCTTGATGTTTGATATATGTGTATAATCACTAGTATTGAATTTGGAAGGGGCAAGTCATTCCATGAATAGAAAATATATCTTTCAAGTATTTTTTTCTCATTTGAATTAACCTGGTGGCTGAGGCTTACACTTTTTTCTTTCTTGTAGCTAAGCAAAAGTTTGCTGAAGCACCTTCCTCTGAAGTTGTGCAAATAACATCTTGTCTGTATTCTGATTCTCCTACATTGGTAATCTTTTGGAATTTATTATTAATAATAAAAGCTTGAAACTAAATATACCACTACACAAGCTACACATAAGAACATAAGAAAAAGCATGGTGGATCAGACCAAAGGTCTATCTAGTCCACACTACACATTTCAGATATACCCATATGCATGATGCCGTCCCACATTCATTCCCTCTTCCATTTTTTGCAGTCCCTCCCCTTGAGGAAATTGCTTTGAGAGAGTTGGGGTCACTCCAGAGCAGGGTTTTCTTGCAGGGAGGAAGAGAAATGTGCTGCCCCACCTACACTTTTGATAGAGTGCAAAGACTGTATTGCAGTAAACTGGCAAACTGCAGAGCACCTGTTATATGATAATTCTTGGCAAGGTTTTTCACATGAAAAGTTAAAGTTGATTTTGTTGGCAACAGCCAGAACATACAGTTCAGTACAGCATTTGCACTGTATTACAGAAATGCATGTTTCCTACCCAAATGTAAAATGGGTGGTGGGAAGGTTATTCTTCAATTACAGTCTTTTTAAAAATTGCAAATAGCATTGCAATATGGTTGGACTGAAGGTAATGAGCTGATTTTAATTTTTCATTGCCTGCAAATGTGAGCAAGTGCTAAGAACAGAATGGTTCACCCTTCTCTTAATCTGTTTATGCTTATTTTTTATTCTAGAATTCGTGCTTAAGCAATGATGGAGAGACCTCCACAAGAGCAACAGTAAATATGATACAGGGCCACATTCCTTTTGAAGTAGTCAACAAAAGTCAACAAAAGGTATATCCTGCAAAGAGAGATTTAGCAAAATTAACAGCCTGGCTCTCCACTAGGACTTTTGAAGCTATGGAGCTTTTTATCAACAGTTTGTGATATGGCATATGGATCTCTTGTTCAGAGAAGTTCAGCATTTTGCTCAAACCTTAGCACACATCTAAAGCAGCTGTTTGGATACTAGCTAATAACTGATTATTCACACCAACATTTCCTATTTATTTCCTACTCGCCACCTCTTGAAGAGTAATTCTTCAAGACATTGAATAAGAATTAAACTGGTACAAGCACAATGCTGAAAAATGATTTGCCCTGAAGTCTTCCAGCCTGTGACACTTTCTTTAGGGCCTGAATTCCAGATTTGTGCAGGTATAATTGATGGCATCTTAGCAATGGTGAGCCTCTGCATTCATGCAGTGAATTAAACCAGCACTTACCATCGTATCAATAGTTTGTAGAACAGCAGTTTGTTTAACAAGTTGACAGCCAGTGTGACACTGATTAGAGATTTGGACTGAAACTTGGCAGAATCAGGTTCTAGTCGCCATTCAACCATGAAGCTCACTGTTGACTTTGGACCAATCACAAAATCTCAGCCTAACCAACTTCAATGAGTTGCTGTCATGGGAATAAAATTGAGAGGAGGAAAACCTTGTAAGAACCCTGGTTTCTTGAAAGAAGAAGAAAGACAGGATACAAATATAATAACCATCCTGATCACAGGATTCAGTTATAATTTAAATTAAATTAGAAAATGGGAATATGCAAACCAATTATTTAAGTTTAAAGCAATCGAATTCCAAAGCCATAGGCTTACATTTGTTGTCAAGATTACATAAGTCTGAAACTAGCAGCTAATTTTGGATGTTGGTTGTGGGATTCAGGTAGCAAAATTGAGGACAGTATCCGATTACATCTGTAAACCTCTGCTGATGATGTTACAACCAACAGGACCCATATCTGATACAACAGTAAGCTAGCACTTCCTAGAATGACTCCAGAAATCTGCTGAAATGCTCCCTGAAAACCTGTTTCAATAAATAATATCTGAGGAGTTTTCTGTCTTATGTTGCTGCCTTTCCTCCTTGCAAAGACTCCTAGTTCTGTATTAGGCAAAGCTTTGAAGGTCCCAATACAACTAAAGACCAATTCAGAATAACAGTAGGGTAAAGGGAATGTCTTTTCAGTAATTTTGTTAAAACTTCCAGTAAAACTGACTGATTAGCTTATGTATTTTCATCTGAAACTGATCTGAATATATATGAAAATGATCTCAAACATATGGGAGATAGGCATCTCTAATTCTGGACTGATACAGACGTAATCCTGGCTCCGTATGGTTAATGAATGGAAGCCTTGGGAGTACTCAAGAAACTATATGGAGAGACTTCACCCTTCAGATAAACTTAGACAGTTTATTTACACAAGGCTAATTTTATTTCAGGTTCACTTGGGTTCTTATTTAATAACATTAACTGGAATTTGCTATGGAGAAGGTCTGTAGGATAGGTGTGTACATTCCTGAGGCTTGCTCCCAATTTGTTCACCTCATTTAAAAGTGAGCTGGTGTTGCACCTGCATCAGTCCAGTGCTTTCCAGTTTGAATATTTTTAAATAGGAAGGCCTCGTCAGTTATAGGTGGCCTATAAACACATGTATAAATAAATCAATAACATTGTAGTGGTTTCTCGTGAAATCTTATTAATATGTTTCTTATCACTTTGCATGTTTAATTAAATGTGTGTAGCAAGTTGAATTTCATGGGTACCAAGTAAAAGGATCAGCAGCTAGTGAGATAATGATGAGAGAAAACTGTTCACTACTTAGATGGAATTCATATGCCAGTATGGCAGAGCTTGAAATTGCTGCAGAGGATGCTTGTTCTTTCTCAGATCAGGAACTGCCCAGCTTCATTAAGGTAAACTGAGGAGATTCTTGCTTTAGATCACTTTTTTAAGTCTATGAACATACAGTGAAAATGTAAATATGAAGGTAGGCATGGTTTAAATGCAAGATGAAAGTAGCAAATACCTTTAGCTATAAGTTCATGTCTGACTTTCAGGAAAAACATTTCCCTGTGTTTAATTGTGTCAGGGTTCCTAGAATATTATGTGAGATCTGGTTTATAAACCTGATATCCTATATCCACCCTTGCTATCCACCGCATATGGAACTCTGCCCCTGAACATGTCGTGATGGTACCTTTCCTTCAAAGCCCCCTTCACAGTTTACCTTTGCTGTAATTTCTGGTTTAATCTAAACGCCCAGTTTGTATCTGTTGTTATTGATTTATTGTGCTTATCTCCTCCTGTTATATGTATTTGTTGTATATTATATTTTAATCCTATTTGTTTATGGGTTTTGGTTCACTATTGTTATTTTTTTTAATTTGTATTTTATATTGTACTGTGAGCCAGCCAGAGAGCTTTTGGCTATGGGGCAGCATACAAATGTGATAAATAAATAAGTCAGGCTTCAGGAGGTTACTAGTATGAAAAATAAGTGATTAATTATGCATTTTATTTAATAAAAGCAATTGGATTTTTTAATTAAAAATAATATGGATTGTTCCCCTATACCCTAAATTTATTCATTTGTGCTTCTTTGATTTCTTGGCTTTGTAAATTGCTTGAGTGCAGTTACTACCAACACAATGAATTCCTTCACAGCCTTCCGAGTGTCATTTTTCTCCAAGTCCAAGAAATGAAGAAGTTGTGGTAGACATGGAAGAACAGGAATTCCTGATGTCCAGAATTGTTCCAGATTTGTCTACAGACAATGAAACAGACTTGTTCAGTAAGAAAGTTTTGGTATTGTTGTAAATAGTGTTTGTTGCAAATAATGACTTAACAAAGGAAGTTGTTCCTTACAGACAAAAAGTCTATTTCATTACTGGATAGCAAAGGTTACTTTTTTTCCCCTCCAGTTTCTTATGGTGTTACAGTTAGTTAAACATTTGCAGTCTGAACATTCTCTGCCTGATTTTAGTATAAATGATACATATTTCAAACAAAGGATGTAAGAGATTCTCTTACCTCTTTCTTTAGCTTTGCATTGTTATTTAAAGTTCATGGCTCTAATCCTGTCCTTTTGGCCTTACCGTATTTTTGGAAGAGGGATGTCTGCTCATAGGATAACCTTTCTGCAAGCAAGGAATGGAATGGAATGTTATTTGTTTCACGGAACAGAGAGTTACAATCTAAGTTAGTAATTCCCCACACCCCAAATTAATTCTTTCAGTAAATCATATTTAACATTGGGAGATTTTATTAAGACTGTATATTAACAAGAGGGGACCTATGAAACAATGTTCTGATGTTTCCCTAACTTGATGACTCTTATTGAGAGCACCAGCAATCCTAGGAAAGGAGACTTGCAGCATAATTGGGACTCTCAAAATGTCAAGAAAGGAAAGGATTTTTTCTTGTTCATTCTGAGAGCTTCTCTCACAGTACTTTTTAGCACTAAAGGTCTCAGATTTGAGAGTAAAACTTTCACATAGTGATCCCACAGCATTTTTAGTACATGCATTGTCATTCACATTAAGCCACTTTTTTTACCAACTAAGTTATGATTCAATGGAAGGCAGTGTATCCCAGGGAACCTAGAGAAAAGAAATCTACAAATTTGTTTTTATTTGTTTATTCCTAAAATTTCATTTGAAATTGCCAAGTACATAGGTCACAGCTTTTTAAAATTTTCTGTTTTATAGGGATGGAGGAGCCCAGTTGCCCAAAAGAGAATGATATATCTATGCTCCTATCCACTACTAGAACACAAATTCCGGTTGTGACTGCACCTGTAAATGAAGAACTGTCCAACTTAGATTATTCCAGCGCAAAAGCCATTCAACAGTCCTTTCATTTCTCAGAAGTCAACATATATGACATGTCAGAAGCAATAGTGCCTGAGGACAGGATGTGTGAAACTTTTACAGAAGAAAAGTGTATAGGGGAAAGAGAAGTGTTGCTTACACAGTATGAATACCCTAATACATCAGAACAAAAGCAGCAAAGCAAGTGGAAGAAATACCAAAACACAAATCATGGTGATTTGAGAACTCAAAACAGTAGTGAAGTGTCCATGACAGATAACATCCGAGCTGAGAATATCTTAGCAATGTCTCTGGATGACACAGGAGAAGGTCACAGTGAAGCCATCAATAAAAACCCTCCAGACTCTGCCCATCTGCAGATGATGAAAAGCATGCTTTGTAAACAGCAAAGAAACTTTAGCAGCCAAGATTCTGTTTCAGAAGGAAAGATACCACCTCTGCATTTCAGTCGCAAATGCTTCACTAAAGAAGCACCAAAGGTATTGTCAGCTAAACTCCCATTAAATAATCAGACATGCCAAGGTATTCAAAAAGTAGATCTTTCCAAAGCATCTTCCTGAAATGATTGTGAATATTTAGCAGATCAGTATTCCATCAAATTACTGATTAGCCTAGTTATGTGTTATTATTATTTATTTTTTATTTATTTTATTAAAACATTTTTATGCCGCCCCATTCTCCGAAGCCTCGGGGCGGCTTACAACATAGATAAAACAATAAGTTAAAATATCCATATAAAACAATCTTAATTAAAACACACATTATAAAATAAGCCGCCCTGGCCAGATAAAATTCAATTGTATTTAGCATTTAAAATGTTGCTTAAATAAAAAGGTCTTAGCCTGGCGCCGAAAAACAAATAATGACGGCGCCAGGCGGACCTCTCTGGGGAGCGCATTCCATAACTTAGGCGCCACCGCTGAGAAAGCCCTTCTCCGAGTAGCCACCCTCCTAATTTCTCTCACGGAGGGCTCCCGGAGAAGGGCCTCTCCCGCCGATCTCAGGGGGCGACTGGGCAAATATGGATGTAAGCGCTCCTTCAGGTACTGATATACCTTCAGGTATAATGTTACTCATTATAGCTTTTAAAATGTTTTTAAAAAGCAACATTTTAAAAGCTATAAGGAGCTGTTGAAGTACCTATATCAATAGGCTTCAAAAGAAATGTCAAATGGCATTTATGGCTTCGTTTGAGATATTAAGCTGGTTCATACTACCATATCTCAGCTAACTTATTAAACTGAGATCTTTATTTATACACAAAGCCTCTTGCTATGCATCACAATGAAATTGGAGAACTTATATTGACCATGGCTTCATGTTTCATCTGACCTAGGAAAGTATGGTTATCAGATTTGGAGCAAGCCAGGATAGTAAACCTTGGTTTAAAGTTTCCTTAAACTCTGACTTGTTCCGAAATTATCTCTTGATCAGCCCTATATTGTCAACAAACATGTAATCCTGGATACATGCATTCCTTTTTTATAAAGTGAAAGGTCTACACATGGAAGTCTTTCTTTATGGATATTGTAAAATGATGGAAAGGCAGAATGTATTATCTGTCGTGAGGCTGTAACTCGCGTCTCCAATTAACTCACGCAGCAATCGGCAATAAAACTAAAGACTTTTATTGCTATTTACTACAAGATTTACGATGCAACAGATAAGCTCTGGCAATGAGCTCCTCGCAGCTCAGTTGCCCCCTCCTTTCTGAACTAAGAGGGAGAAAGTCATGTGGATCTCAGTCTCCTCTCATGTCTTTCTGTCCGTGGGTGGGACAAACTTCTGCCATTCCAATTGGTCTAACCTCCGCAAACTTCTCCGGAGCTGGGTGTTTCCTGTTACATCTTCCTGTTCTCCAGGACTCTGCCCAGCAGCTTCAGAGTCAGGAGGCGGGGGGGGGGGGGGCAACTTGTTCAAACATCTCGGAGTCTAGAGGAAGGGAAGCTGCACCCTGCTCCAACTACTCAGAGCTAGGGTGTGCAGAGGCCACTTGCTCGGAAGCCTCAGAGTCGGGCTGCAGAGGGGCTGTTTGGGCCCTGGGCACCAAGAATAAATCTTGTTCCAATGCCTGACCCTCACTGTGAGCTTCTGGCCCTCTCTCGCGTGCCAATGCCTCTGTCGAGCCGTAAGGCACGACATTATCTGAACTTATTTTGATTTGGCTTTCAGCTGGGGTATAAGTTTAAGATGGCTTTGGTCACCTTGGTGGATGAGCTACACCAGGAGCACAACCATAATAGTTCTCTTGGACCCTCTTATGAGAAAGGTCCTTGGGGGTGATGTCTTTCAGTGGCTCCAGTCCCTTCTGTCATGCTGTGTCCAGCAGATGGTGCTGGAAGATTACTGTTTGACTCCACAGCCACTAGCCTAGAGTATCCTGCAGGTTTTCTTCTTGTCCCCACTTCGTTTAATCCCTACATGCAATGGTAGAAGTCAGTTGGAGTTTTGGAGGAAGGGTCAACAAATATGATGGTGACTCCAAGCTGAAACCCTTGAATGCTGCCTGGAGTATTTGATAAAGGACAGAAGCGAATGAACTGAATTTAAAACCAGATAAGATAGAGGTATTGTTGGTCAGTAGAAAGCCTGGCTTGGGGACTGGAATTCAATGCATTCTGGAAGGGGTTGTGCTTTCCTTGAAGAATCAGGCCTATTCTACATGTCTTGAAAGAGTACACTGATTGCCAACTGCTTTCCAGATTCAGTTTAAAGTGTTGGTGTTAAACTTGAAACCCCTAAATAGTTTAGGACCTGGCTATGTAAGCGACTCTTAACTTTTCCAAGAATTAAGATCTGAGGAGAGGCCTTTCAGAAGGCACCATTACCCAGAAAGCCCTCTTCATTGGACATGCATGAAAGGGCTTTCCTGCCATGCTGCCACAAAACTATGGAATGTGCCCCTGACTCCCACGGTATTTAGAAGAATATAAAAATATATTTTCAGTTTAGACTTAGGTTTTTTTATTTTTAATGTACTCTTTCTATTGCAAGTTCTTAAAATTGCTTTAAAATTTATACACTGCTTGATGGATTTTTTAAAAGATACAGCACTATATAAATGTTAATATGCTATATAATTAGATATCTGCTGGTTAAGGAACTATTTTATGGCCCCTACATGTTGTCAGATTTCTGGTTCTGAAGTCTGAGATAGTGCTCTGTTTTCAGTGCTGAGCCCTAATCTCCCTCCTCTATCCCCTTGCACCTGGCAAAGAAAGAACTACATTGGCTGCTTGGAAAACAACATTGACCTTGGAAGGGAATTAAAGGAGGCATTTTGAGGGACAAGGAGGAGAAGAGGCTAGAGCAGCCAGAATGTGAGATATCTCCAGCCACCTTCCCTCTTCTGAAGCACCCTGGCTAGACAGTTGAAAATGGCCATCTAGCAAAAATGCAGAGTAGTGGGGCCAAAGATTGATTTGACTGCTCTACTTGCTCTCCACTGGATGCCAATAAACCTCCAAGTATGAGCACTTATGGGCATCTCCATAGGATTACACTCTTGGGTAGCAAGCTGCATTAATTATTACGGATTGATGACCAGTGACACTGTGAACACTGCTGCTTTTGAGAACTTGAATACAAATGACAGCTACTTCCAATAGATAGAACTGCCAGATATAAAACAGCATAATTTTAATTTGTAACAAGGCAAGTAGTAAAGACTCTAGCTTTAATACTAAATTGTGTTTTAAAACTTTTCATATTACTATATGGTATATTTTATGAACAGTTGTTTCAGCACTTCTGGGAATAACCTGAAAAAAGTCTGTGGTCATAAATGCAGGATCAGCCGATATTGCTGCTTGAGAAGTGCTCTAAGAAAGAAAGAACATATCTGAATCTATTTATTGTCTATATACTGGACTAGATGAAAGGAGATAGGATTTTGCATGCATAGCTTTCCGTTTTATTTTTCAGATCACTTCTGGGCTGTCCTTTCCCAGTGTGGAAATGGTAAAGCACTCTAATGTACTGAAAAGGCAGATATGTATCCCAGTTGAGTTTCAATCTCCTGCACATTATAAACAGATTTTTACTGCTGCTTTAACAGGTATGGCTAACATCTTTCATTTCAGAACTGATCCAGTGAATTCAATGATGGTTGTTTGGGGGGTAATGGCAGAGTCTGTGACAGAAGATGGACAAGTACAATAATTCAACAGAAGCTACACACACACAGTCAAAACTGTGTTCATTGTAAATGTGCTGCTCATATATGCAGTCACCATGTGCTTTCTATGGTTGTCTCTGCAGTCTAGATTCTATTATATTAGCAAAATCAGCCAGGACCAAGCTTTGTATTGTTCAGGAAGTCCATGACTGGACTTCCCTTTTAGGTAAAAGCAGCCAAAGAGGACTCCCAATTTTACTGGAGTAACTATGCTAGAGAAGTCGCTGTTTAACCTTTTCCCCATTCCCAACCTAAATTTTCCCTTGCGAACCATTTTTAGTTCTATACATACACCTGCCGCCATGCCAATTAAGTGAAGCTTCCACATAGTTAGAGCTGGAAAATGGCACAGAGAAAAGGATTAAAACTCTTCCCCAGTGTTGTTGCTCATTCTTCACCCTTGCTTTTAACTGCAAATAAAAATAGCAACAGGTCTAAAAGTCCAAGAATCCTTAAAAGTTTGGATTATAGCATGCTAATGTATTCTGACATCTCTGTGCTCAGTTCTCAGCTCTTACTTGTTCCAGCTAAGACAATTTAGTAGTATCTTCCATTATATCAAATTAGGATCAATATCTCAACTTTAATCAAATGTAGTGGCAATGGACAATAACCCAAATTCAGCTCTAAGAAAAACTGGTGATATCCTTTACTACTTAGAGCATGACACAACAAGAAAATCCACCTTGCAAAAAGCTCTGCTATTGCCAATGGCAACAATTCTGCCAGTGCCGAAGTAGCACTATGGGGCAATCCTTGCTAGCTTATTACCCTTTTAAAAACATTGAGGTGGCAAAGTAATGTGGAATTAAAATTATAATTTAAAATGATTTTTTTCTCTGGCAGGTATACATTTACAGGTGCCCGAAATGTAGCATATTGCCTGGCTAATGTCCTGATAAATGTCTGTTATCAAAGTGCAGTGGGTAACATCCATGGACATTGACCAAGTGATGCTGAATATAAGATAATCTTCACACAGTTGATGGCTGTCACTGTTTATTCAGTTTAAATAATTGCCCTGGCAGTTCTCAGTTCCCTTCTCCTTTTCTACACTTCCCCTCTCGGTACTCTAGAAAGTATATCCTTTGCCCCATTTTTGTGAGAACGTTTGATAGTTGTCAAAAGAAAGAGAGTTTGTTTTAAAACATATCTGCCAAATTTGAGAACTTTTGCGGGACAGAGGAATATGTAGCCCTACCATCTTCACATATGCACATGCCTCTGTGGAAAAACTCCGACTAGTCCTGTGAGAAATGTGTTTTAAAAAGAGGCCTTTTGCGCTCCTGTAAAATGAATGGCTTGTGATTTTCCGGCATCCCAAATACCTACAGTCTTGAAAAAGGGTGGAAAAGATGTAGGACATTGAGAAGAGTCACATCCAACTAAAAGCAAAGTAGAGGATTTTACCAAGAAGGGGTGATCGAGTGGATACCCTGTTCCATGAACAAATACTACTCATGGCTTTGGTTTCACTTGACAGCTCCCTTTTTGTTGGTTGTCAGAGGAAAGCAAAGTAAGAAAGAAACCTCATTACAGCCTCTTTTGGCCCATGTCCATGCTGGGTGCCTGCTGCACTTTGACAGAAGATACCTGCTAGGACATTGACCAGGTGAAGCAGCCCATACTGGGTCTTTGTAAGTGTGCAAGTACACACTTGTACAAGTTGGACCACTACAGTGAATAAAAATTACAGAAACATTTGCACACATGTGGGCACTGACAGCCTCTCCAATGTGCCATTTGGATAGTGGCTGTAAATTTAAGGGATTGGAAAATGTGATCTCCAGGAAGTAAAAATGGAAAACGGATGGGGAAAGAACAGTAGCAAGCAAAAAAGCACACCTGATCTTTGCAAGGAGTGGCAACAGTGTGGCTTTTCCTGCCAAATGCCCAGGGACAGTGGCGGGAGGACTGGGGGAACAGGGAAGGAATCAGGGACCCACGCATGGTAACCTAAACATCTGTCAGTCACATGGGTTTCATGATCCCCCCTCCCCATGCACACTCATGGCTTATTTGATTATTATAATCTGCAAACTTGCCTACTGTGTGTTTGTGGGGATTTACTTTCTTAGTCCACCTAAGCATTTTAGAGAAACAGTCTCCTTGAAGTTTACATGACCGCTTTCCCATTGATGAAAGGAAAACCAGTAAAACATTCTCAGTTTCAAAGGAGCTCCTTTCTTCTCTTCCGCTAACTATGATCTTGTGCTCACCTCCAAAAGATCATGAAAAATTGGTTAGAATGGTGGAAGGAACTCAGCTTAATAACATTTGACATACAAGAAGTTTTATTTAAGGGTGTTTCCTTTTTTCCCCCTAATGGCACTTTACTGCTTAAAATGTGATCTTTATTGTTTTTTATCATTGCATGAAGAACATTTAAACATATTGTTGTATGACCTGTCACTAAAACTGCACAAAGCTCTTGGAAAAGTGGATATATCCTTCTGTACCTCCATGGAAGGAGGCCAAGAGCAAGAGAATTCTGCACCACTCTGCAACCACAAAATTGCAGCTAAACTACTTGTAGTTAAAAAAGAAGGCCAACACAAGGTATGCTTTTGGAGGATTAAATAACGTGGTTTTATTAATATACCTGTTGAAGGTCATTACACATATTTGTGTATTAGCTTCCATATTTTGAGAATATCTAATTTACTGCATGCTGGTATGTGTTTTATGCATAAAATTGTTTATTATATGTATTGTTCTCATGAAACACTGAAATTAATTACCATGACTAGCAATATTTAAAAAAATGGAATTTTCTTGTGGGGGAGGGGACTGGTTCCCTTTGCTTTTTCCCCCCAAGAACGCTTTTTGTACACATCTAATTGGAACTAACTTCCCTAATTTTGGTAGTTTATTTCAAAGAAAATACCTTTGTCGATGTATCCTAAGGACAACCCTACACAGCACTTATGGTCAGATTAGGGAAAATTCTGTTGATATGTTTTTAAAAGGAAATATGAAAAGGGAGAGTTCCAATTTTGCTTATCTCTTGATGGCACATCCAGTTGTAGGATTTGTTTGTAATCCTGAATCCTTTTACTTGAAAAAAGTTCCCTTGGGTCAATGCTCAGGGCAAGTGGATTTTGGTTTCCAGGGAATTTCTGTCTTGCCTTTTAAGGGCTACTGTGCTATGAAGGTTACTTTTTTAACATATTCGTAAACTTTTCCAGAACCTATTAAACTAGTTCTTGAGAAAGAAAGACTAGATTTGCTTTTTAATATATGAATATATTGGCTTGCATTTTGTTTCAGGGACGACTTTTCTATGCCTGTGATGCTCGTAAAGCTGATCGGTGTGATTTTTTTAAGTGGCTAGAGGATGTAAAACCTGGACAGATCGCACATAGGCCTAGAGTTGTTCTTCATGATATGAAGAGCATTGGAACTTACCTCAGGTGTCAAAATATTTATCTCTATGAAGAATGCCAGCTTTTGATGAGGTATGTTGGAATGCTAAGTAAACTTGAATAACACTACATGCTTGAATGAAATGGAGCTAGTTAATAACAATGTTACTGTTCTGTGTTAAAGAATTATGATAAGAAGTTATCACAAAAGACTTCTGCACTCATGAATTAGCCTTTTCATGTAAATTTGCATCACTAGCAACAAATATAGTATTGCATTTTAGTTTCAGAATGAGCAGTGTGAGACTCAACTAAGATCAAAGCTAGAAACCAAACACTATTTTACTGCTGTAATGTATCCTAGGGAGATGCTGTGCAAAAAGCACAGCCACAAAACATCTTTAGTGCCTGAAACTACTTGAATATTTTTAATCAGTAGTTCTTGATATTAAGAGTTTAATTATGATTTTGGCTAGTATTGAAGCTATAATTTATTTCATGTATTTTTAATTCAAAAGCATGTGAGATAAGTATGTTCTTAGTTCTGTTTTTGTCTCATAATAAACCACTGTATTTAAGTGCAACAGCAGTATAGAAAACATTCTTACTCCTGATATTTCCTATTTTCTTTTTTTCTCTCAGAAAAACTTTTGATTTTCAAAGAAAGCAATTTGGTAAGATGGGAAAATTTAATATTTCAAAGGTTAGCCTTGATTGTGATTCTACAGGTAAATTATATCTTAAGCTGAACCGAAAAGAACACTCCTCTTTCTACAACAAAGGTTGGTGAACTAGGCCATCATTGGAAAACTATTGCAATTTGTATTCATAATAGTGAGGGTCTTCAATTTAAGTATGCCCTCATTAGGATTTGTCTTTAGAAATTTTGCATGTACCTGTCTTGACATTTGCAGTTTACTAACTTCTGCAGAAGGAAGGATTTCCCAGAATTCCTCATACTTAATTTTCTGTTTAAAAAGTTGCTTTGTTGCATTGCTGCATTGTGACTTTTAGCTATGACCTGGGAAATTAGGAGCTGCATTGCAGGTGCCCTTCGAAGTAGCTGTGGGCACTGTGTTGGGAATCCAATTTTGGTGTTTGTAAGGAAAACCCCGCCCCATGCATACAGCAGTACATGCTGGGGCTCCCCTTCAAAGTAGAGTGGCACAACTTGTCTGGGGTAAACCTTTTCTCTCCCCCAACCCTTGTCAATCTATATTCTATGTAAATACCTAAAAAGGCTTCATTTCTCACCTAACCAGCAGACCATGTACAGGTTGGTCTAGCAGATGTAGTGTCATTAAAGAATTCTTATTAAATATATTGAAGCACTGAAACAAATCTTGAAAATACATTATTACCATGAAAAGCAATCACATTTACCTGGCAAAGTTCAGATGAAGCAAAACACACAAGCGTCTTTGAGAACAAGCCAAAGTAAAAAGGAAAAATAATGGGAGAAACAGTGTACGTATTTTCTTCAGAGAAGATGTTCTAGATTTACTTTGCTCATCTGAAGCTTTGCTTCAGATGCTACTAATGTATTTGTCACTAATATAAATGTATTTACTGTTTTGACAGATGATATTTGGGTTATTTCCAAAACTCTGATTTTTGGACCTTTGGACACATTCATTGCATGCAGTGTTTTCTTTGGACCATCCTCTAGCAATGAAGTGGAGTTGGTACCTCTCAAAGGTTACAGCCCCTCAAACTGGTGCTCAAATAGTAAGTTTATTCTTAGAAAGTGTTTCAATGGGCATCTTAGCATAGCTGTTTCAAAATACAGCTAACTTTGAATGAAAAAGATAGTAATGTCAGATCAGTTACCTGAACAGTAGTAGAAAGTGAAATAGATCTTATTATGATATGCTGAAAAATTCTAGAGCCCAAACAAAATGGTTAGTATATAAAACGTTATCAGGATATTCTGCTACAAGTGAAACATGTTCATCTCAAACCCTCATTAGATGGTCCAAAAACCACAGCTGGACGATACAAAAGTATGGCATTTTGTGTTTTCATTAGATGATGTTCATTTATTTGGCTTGTGAAAATTGAATAGTTTCATCTATTTTACTTATGAATATTCATCTGAAAGAAGTATCTCTCTGATTTGCTTGATTTCAGCAGAATCTTGTGGTATTTAAAGATCTTAAAATGTCATATAATATGGCATATGTTTTCTGGGGCAAAATATGAAAATGTAGGCAACAGTAAATTTAGTCCTTTTTAAGGTGGCATAAGGCTGCTAGTGTATTTAAACTGGGCAGGTATAGTATCCATATAATTAGTAATATTTATTTATTTACATCCTGCCTTTTTTTCCCTTACAAAGAACTCAAAGCGACTTACACAATTCTCCTCTCATTTCTACCCTCATAACAACAACCCTGTGAGGTTCAGCTGAGAATCCATGGCTGAGCAGGAACTAGAACCTAGATCTTCTGTATCCCAGGCCCTCATGCTTTACCACTACACCACACTTTTGTGTGAATGACTTTTGTAAAATAAATTCCAAGCATGCGGGCCTGATCTAGATTGGTATCCTACAAGAGGTTAAGCGGGCTTTACCTGCAGTCCCAAACTGTATAGTCTCCAATTCATGTCTGGTATTTGCACTAGAAGAAAAGTTTTCATTAGTGTGAATGGGAACTTATCTCCCAGTGCAAATAGGAGTTTGATCATATCATAGCATTCTTATGGGTACAAGTCACTGTGTTCCTTTTTTCTTTTTAATAGTGGAATGTCACAGTATCTACCATATTGCCAAAATTTTCTTGCTATATATATAGCA